GCAACGCGAAACGACGCGACCACAATGCAGCTCTGCAAAGCGTGACGTCACCCCATTCAAAGTGAATGGGCAGAAGCGTTGAAGCTTCAACGCACGCCGCCGTGTGGACGGGCCGTTACACTTGCGTTTCTATTGGCTAGCGCTCCAACACATTGTATGTGATTGGCTAAGGGGCGGGACATCTCTAAGCGGAGGACCAATCACAACAGAGCTGGCCAGCTAACCAATCAGAGCAGACTGGGCTCTGGTTTCAGAGAAAAATAAAGCACTTTCTGAACATTAAAGCAAACATGTGCAGAAAGGGCCCCTCTAATATCATTTGAGCCTCTAGCAGGCAACTCTACTCCACATTAAGCTTTAAACAAGGCAGTTAGTTCTAAAGAAACTGTCAACAAACACCAGCATTGCTGATGTCATTTTAGTTTAATTGAATCAGTGGAAAAGCCAGATTCTCACTCTTAGGACTGGTGTATTTATTCATGACGTCTTTGTCTACGACGTGAAAATACTAAGTACACACTCTGAACTCTTATGAATGGCTGCACTGTTCGAGAGTCAATAGTTGTTCTGCCTTTACAAAAATGAATATACAAAATACCATATAGTGATCAGAGCTTCATCTTAAGGGGGAAAAAAGAAAGAAAGGAGTAATTTAATGTATTTCTCTCTGTTATATGTTTTATCATAGTTGCATTAAATATTTTAAGTAAGCGATCAGTGACTGTCCTCCACAGTGTGACTCTGTTGACAGAGAGCCATTCTGCCTCTACACAGTGGATGTATTTACAAAAAATGTTGGCCTTGCACAAAATACTGAGCTTAGCTTCATATATATTCCACAAACATATACTGTCTTCTGTCCTTTAGAGAAGTAAACAAAAGAGCTCAGACTTAATTTCGCCCCTGGTTGTTAATGTTACCATTGACAGCCCTGTAGGGAAATGCTTTTCACAGCATATGACTGTTAGATATTTGCAAAGAAGACGGTTGCAAATGTGGGGATAAGACCTTATATTATACTATTTTTCAACGTTAGTTTTGGTTACATATTCTTCTTTCTGTGTCTCTGTATGCACCACTTATACCAAAGCAAATTCCTCGTACGTGTTAACCTACTTAAACAGATTCTGATTCTGGAAACATTGGAATACCACACACAGTTTAGAAAAAAAATAACTGGGAAAAAGTGTCTAAATGATTAATGAAATCTACTCGTCCTGTTACTGTAAGTCATTGAACCTGAAGAGGACTACTTCCCCAAGCGTGTAAGAGAGAATTGTGGGAGCAGTTATCCCACGGTCATTTGAAGCGGAGATGAATTTAGGTCACAATGGCAGCGTAATGATAACTCTGAAATCCAAATCTGTGTCCAATTAATTGATTCACTGCTGTTGTGGTTGCACTGAGGGAGAGATAATCTCATTGTTGAGGATGAACTTGTTTGAACTTTTCCAATCTAAAACAATGTTGTGCAGTTATAGTTTGGGAAAGGAGCATAGAATTTACGTCAGATATTGGTTGTACAATTTCAAGAATGCAGCGTATGAGCGATTAGGCTTACAATGGCATTCGTGCAGGATTAGCTTGCTTAATATTCCCCGCCCTCACTTGCCCCTAACATGTTTTAACAACCATCAGCTCTACATACAAGTCGCCTCACTCTAAGAGGCCTATGATCTGGCCCAGTGCATTGAGAAGAATCATCCATATTCCAGCACTGGAGGCTAAAAATGTCACTTTAAGGTCATGCAGGGAAAATATTTTACTTTTGTATGTGACACCATCTTCAGGTTCCTGTAATTTATTCATACCATGATGACTAAATATTAAAGCAATCGCGGACTGGGCATCGGGACGTTCGGGACGAATCCCGATGGGCCGGTACTGAAGTGGGCCAGTCGGACGATGTGGGCCGGTCGGATAAGTCACTAGCAAACCCCCCCCCCCCCCCCCCGTTGACAATTTACTAGCGGTACCGAAGTGGGCCGGTCGAGAGTCCCGGGCTGATTTTTAGTCCCAGTCCGCCCCTGTATCAAAGTCAACGTCAACTTTATTGTCAATCTTTCAGTTTGTGTGTACAGACCATAGACTGGTACAAACAGAGAGATCGAAATACCGTTTCCCACTATCCCGAATATAAAAATACAAATATGTATAAAATATGTATATCCTATAGTATATACAATCAACACTTTTATACATGTCCACAACAATCAATATACAAAATAACAGTCACTTCAATATCTTTGGGAAATATGGTAAGATGATTGAAATGGTTTGACTCAACACCATTCATATCATTATTGTTAATCTGTGATTTGCAACTCGTTAATTTCACATTTGAAAAGTAGACAAAAGTAAAAAAAAAATTGGGTCAGAGATGATTTTTCCTTCCAATCCCTTCTTTCGTCAAAGCCCCCAGTTGGAAATGATAGGCTTGATAACCCGAATGGCTGCCAAGATAATGGCTACAGACCAGTAACAGAAAACCCTTGTCAGTGTAAACACACGGCTGCTATCCAAACCAATGCTGCGTTTGGGCCGGAGCCGCCATTGAACGGCATAATCTGCTGAATAAATCTGCAGCTTGGCCCTGTCTGGCTGCTGTCTGGGTTCTGTGCACTTGGACAAAAGCGCCGGACACCTTGCCCACTGACAAAAGGCCTGGCCCTAATCGGAGTGGACATGGCCTGCTGATGGAGCCTTTTTGAGCAATTGAACTCGGTCAATGAATCTTCGGGGACCTAATGAAACATAAGGGACAGGCTGTTTGAATCCAACAACGGGGCCAGCACCAAGGTGTCCTGTTTCTGTCCATCAGCCTCAGAACTAAACCATAATTACTTTTAGGAATGCACGCATGTAAATTAAATTACTGCTTTATTTTATTTTCTATTTTATTATATTTTTTTGTAATGTTATTATAGTGTTCTTAAAATAGTTCTCTATCTGTGTTTTTTTTATTTTTGTTTTACTTTTATGTATGCACCACGACACCAAGTCAAATTCCTCGTACGTGCCAACCTACCTGGTGATAAACCTGATTCTGATTCTGATGTGCCGGACCTGAGAAGGTTCTGATGATGTTGACCCTGTTGGCTAAATAATTGTTGTAGATGTTGATGTCTTTCATGTCATGGTGGAATTCAATTTTGGCCTTTGAAGGAGAAAATGAGTCTGATGTGGCGCCATTCTGTTGTTTTGTTTTCCTCCTGGAACATTGCGAGAAAGGCGAAACAGGCCTTAGTGTGTCTCTGGAGCAAACTGTTTGGGATGGAGGACATGCTGTTCTTCTTTGAAACGTTGAGGAAGGAGACTGGGTTCCTTTTAGAAAGCCCTTGGGGTATGTGTATGGGAAAACCTGTGTGGGCCACTGGAATCTCCTCAAAGAGAAGGAGTACAGCACGAGTGCTGACCTCACCACGGGAGAGAGGAACCGGTCTTTGTGATTAGAAATGCCACGAAAAAGTGTGCATTGTTCGCAGCCTAACACGTTTTTTGTTCTTCTGGTCTTGTGATTCACCTACAAGGTCTCAGGATCACTGACCCCTTGTAGCTGGCTGCCTGCAATGCCTACACAAGTCCATGACACTATATTTCCTTTACACTCTGTTGTTCTCAGATTGCTTGTTGTCGCAAAGTGTAACATCAGTTAGCAAAAGTGGAAAGTTAAAAAACGTAATGAATCTCAATCTTTTCATTTGTAAAGATCTGACTCTTCCTGAGTTTGATACTGTACATGTGGACATGTGTCAAACTCAAGGCCCGGGGGCCAAATCAGGCCCTTGGTGGATTTAATTTCGGCTCGCAGGATAATTTCTAATTACTATTAGATCTGGTCCTCCGGTATATTGCACGCACACCTTCACTCCATCCTGAGGGTCTCCTCAGCTCAGAGCCTGAGCCCAAACATTGATGAACTTGCACCCAAGATGAGATGCCAAGTATCTGAACTAGCATCACAGAGCAGCACACTGAGTTCAATGGATGTTTCCTTCTGCACTTTCTCTCTCAGGACAACAGGGCATGTTTGGTTTTCTCTTTATGGGGAATAGTTTTGTTGAAGCTGTTGTTGGCCTGTGGAAAAATATAATCATAAGAAATAACTCCGGAGAAGCTGCAGATAGAGCCATGAGAAATGAATGCAACTGATTATTTAATGTTTAATGTTGTTTTTATAGGCAATCATTTAAGCTTTGTTAGTTCCAGGTTTAATATGTGCAATAAGTTCATTTCAATAAGTTTTGCAATAAACATTGAACCAGTTGAACCCTCGACTAGCACCGATTTTTTTATTTTGGCCCACTGTGTATTTGAGTTTTACACCCCTGTACATAGATCAATAAAGGATGTTGACCTAATATCGTCAGTGCTTACATGTTTACATTTGCCTTCAAACAACCCTACAACAATGCAACAATACTGAATGTAGAATATAATGTTAATGTTACATATCAAAATAGCATAGGTCTCATGAGACGATATCCATGGTGGGAGCTGCATGTAATCCTTCTGAAGTTTATAATAAGGAACAACAACTGTGTAAGGTCATTGTTTGTAAAATACCTTCCGCATAACCATAAGGCAAACTCAAAAACAACATAAACATCCATGCTTCTTGAACTGGACCATTACCATCTGGACCACAAATATAATAATTCAAATAACGGAATAATTCATGTTTTAATCCTTTATGTATTTATTTTTACTTTATTTTTGCTCTCAAAAGTATGGCTTTCAAAAGTAAAATAAAAGTTCAAGTGAAAATAACAAGAAGAAGTCCCTTTTTATTATGATTAAAATATATACAAATGCCAGAACAAATCATAATAACTAAAAAGAATAATAAAGAATGACATGTAAAGTTGTAATTGGAAGAAATTATAAACGGAAATTGCAAGGCCATTTATTGTGAAATATCTTACACTTATCTTTCGCGTTTGGTATGGTTTGTCCCTAGCGAGTCTCCTTACATGTTGTCAACAGTGTGGTTTCCATGGAGACTAAAGTCAACCTCTGGACGCGAATGGATATTTCGACATGTTTTGCCTGCTAGGAAATGTTAAACTAATCTACATATTCTTTAAATTAAGAGCAGTTGTATTCATTATCGATTACAATAGAACCTAGAGGTAACTTTCTGACTTCTAATGTTGGTAAACAAATGTAAGAGTTGAATCCCAAGAATCGCATCGACATTTTAAATGGATGCTAATGAGCATTATTGTGTCACACACACAGTAATGTTTGAGCTAACGATACAACGTAATGTTATCAATAATACTGATGAAACTAAAGAGGAACAGGAGGGGTTTTCATCTCAAGTAGACACGGTAAGTCTGAGCACTTACATACGATGATTCATTCAGCCTAAAACCTTTTAATTAGACAGGTGAAATAGCTAATTAGGCTAAATGTAGCTAATTGCTAGTAGCAGCTAACTAGCTTATTAGTACTGTATCAACGTTTTTAAGTTGAATGGTGGGTTTACATATTTGTATTATGACCTACGTTTCGATGTTTAGGTAGATACAATACTAAATATCAGGGATGTAAAGTAAGTAGATTTACTCAAATAATTAAGTACAATTTTGAGATACCAATTCTTTACTTGAGTATTTTAAACGTTTGCTATACTTTGTACTTCTACTCTACTACAATTCAGAGGTTCATACTTTGTATCCAGTTGTTTAAAGTCCTTATGCCTGTAAAAAAGATCTCAATGGAGTGACTTAATGTCTATTTACTTGGTTTTGACAGACCACATTTGTCTTTATTTAATAGTCTTTATTCAATGAGTTATAATGTAGTGTAATACAATAGTTAAAGGCCTAGTTCAAGCTTAAGGTACGTAAGGTACTTTTCTTGATTTTTCTTCTTCATACTTTCTACCCCACTTCAATTCAGAGGTAAATTGTGTACTTTTACTAATCAACTCTTAAATCAGACTTTAGTTACACCTGGAGTAAATTCCCAATCTGCACAATGACTACTTTTACTTTAGGTACTTTAACTATATTTTGATGCTGATACTTTTCTACTTTTACTTGAGAATAATTTTGAATGCAGAACTTTTACTTGTAACAGAGTATTTTCTACACTCTGGTACTTCTACTTTTACTCAAGTACAAGATCTGAGTACTTCTCCCACCTCTGCTAAACAACCAGTTACATTACATTGCATTTAGCTGACGCTTTTATCCAAAGCGACTTAGGTACATCAGGTTTCATAGAGCCAAAACATTTCAAGTGCTACTCAACTGGCTTTAGATAAGCCAGTCCTTTATTAGTATATAATAATAATAATAACAATAATGCATTTTATTTATATAGCGCTTTTCACAACTCAAAGACGCTTTACAGTATGAGGGAGGATATAAGTGCTTTGTTAGTAATTCTATCGCTCGAAGTGGAGTCGAAAGAGATGAGTTTTCAGTCTGCGCCGGAAGGTGTGTAAGCTATCTGCTGTCCTGATGTCAATGGGGAGCTCATTCCACCATCTTGGAGCCAGGATAGCAAACCGGTTAACCTTACTTTAACAAGTTACCTTTTATGATAACACCAAACTAACATTCCTTAACTTTCTGACAACAGGACTCGGATGACTTCTCCCAATGTCTGCTCAGCTACCTCGAAACCTCCAAAAGCAGAGCAGCAGTTTGTGAGAAGCGCATCCTTCAGGAACTTGAAGGTATGTTTGATAGGGTGGTTGTGGCTCAGTAGGTAATGTGCTGGACTTCGAATCAGGGGATAGCAAGTTCGAGTCCCACTGCAGTCAGCATGTCGTTGTGTCCCTAAGACACTTCACCCCAAATTGCTCCTGTGGGGATGGCCCACAGTATTGAATGTATGTAAGTCACTTTGGATAAAAAGCGTCTAACAAGTGACATGTAATGTAATGTAATGATAGCAGTGGTGGGAAGTTACCAAGTACATCTACTCAAGTATTTTACTAAAGTTCTAATTTAAGGTACTTTACTTAAATATTTTTCTTTTCATGTCACTTCCATGCCACATGTACGTTCTACGTCACTACAGCTACATACAGCTTTAGTGACTTTACTTATTAGGGAAGATTTTAACCATTTAAAAAAACAAGATGCACAAGATTATTTCTAATAAATCAGCAGTTATAGTTTATAGTAACAGCTGAATGACGAGAAGATCATTACATTTGCCAATTGAGATATATCATTGAGATTATTAAATGTATCTTAAATAATATTAATTTGTAGTGTTTTTTTTTATTTTAGATTTTCTGCTTTTTCTATTTTTTATTTATTTAATACTTTAAGAATATTTTTCTGATTATACTTACTTTTGCTTTACAGTATGTACTTTTTTCAATTCAGGGCTTTTACAGTGTGATTTTATTACTTTGAATTCTGCAAAGGATCTGAATTCTTCCCCAAACACTGAATTAGTATGCATATCATTCAGTGTTATGCTTCTACAGGCAGAGCTGCTAAATAACTTGCCTAACATGCTCACTTTCATGATTCAGTTAACTGTTCTGGTTTTCTTAATATGTACAATAACAACGCCTCAAAAACAATACCATGGATGAGATTTCTTCTGACGATAATGCATAATCTGTGTTTTCTTATTGCATCACAGACATGACTGCATCACATCACACTGAGCACATGATGCACTTTCATATTCAACCCCAACAGGATACAATGAAACTAAAGGAGCAGGTAGCTGTCTCTCTTCAAATCTTTCATCAATGACACATCCAAAGTGCACAAGTTGTGGCAAACTCCTCTAAAGTTCTGATGTATTTGATACAGGTCATTTGTGACTCAGACAACCAGCAGAACGACTCTTCCACTGACACCCGCCTCCTTCCTGCAGAGACAGAAGCTCTTTTCCCTTACGAGGTGTCAGTGTGTCCCGACAATGAAGGTGCGGTACATGCGAAAGTGAAAATGTAATAACACAGTGCAGAATGAACGCTACAGGGTGTCACAAGTCTCACATTCAAAGGTATTCTATTGCAAACTTAACAAATGTACAGTCAAAGCCAAAGTGGGGGGTGATCAGAGTCATCTTTATATGTTTGTTTTCCTGTACGTATTATTACAAGCAAAGGCATACAGATATTGGCAAGACTTTTGAATAACACTTGTGAACTTAATTGTGAATAAAAAGTGTGATGCATAAAGTACATTAACATTTAAGCACTCAATTAATTATGCATGATATCTGAGTGACAGCAGGTACATTCAAAGTAAAGACATCTTGTGTTATGTTAAATGTTGTATTTAATTGCAAAGATGTAAAAGAGATGAATGCTAGATAACATCCATGTCCCCTCTTTATGCAATGTGGAGGTCTTGCTGAAGGGTTAATGTTGTATTAAAACGTCTGTGGCAATACAACAGTTTCTCACAAGAGGTCACTGTTGTCATATTTTTTGCTCTCATTAATTTCTGTAGGGAGTTCGTGATAATGACGTTTTTCAGACAGAGAAAGTGGTATAGTGTTAACAACGTTGGTCTAGTTATTACAACATTCGGACAGAATATTCCTGCATACATATTTCTTTAGGCAGTTCGCTGCCCTGTTTTCCTCCTTGCTAGTGGAACTATTAACCCTTGTGTTGTGTTCGAAAGCTGTTACCCTTCATGGTGATCGCGGGTACATTTTGACCCATGATTTATCTCAGTCCAAAACACTCAAAAAAAAGAGTTTGAACTACATCATAACTAACTTATAATGCATTCATAACCGTACAATCCTGTTGTAATGTAATGTTATGGCCCCAAAACACATTCCACCACATATTGCACACGTGCATGTGTGAGTTCAGGTTCAAGTGTTAGGTGTACATATTCTTTGAGAAAGGTGGAGTTCCCGTGGGGGGAGGGGGGCAGAGGGAGGGGAGACCAGGTGCATGTTGCGAACAATTTTTGTGACAGTGGATGAAGGAGGCGGGGGAGGGGTGTCTGAAGTCAAAGATGAATCTTGATTGTGCCAAATTTGACCTCGAGTCACCCAAAACAATTCTGCTGGGTCTCCCCAGACCCCAACACCAAATGATACACTTCTTTTTTTAGAGACCTTCAGACTTGGCTAAAATTGTAAAAATCAGTTTTGTAGTTTTAGCTGCTGTGGAGGATATCATGAAGCCTCGTTCCGTTAAAAAAAAACTAGAGCGTAGTTATTATATAACTTTAACTTGAAACGGGTCACAGGAGACCCGAACACAACGTAAGGGTTAATAAAGCATTTTCTTTTTTTGACTTGTCACAGGAGATTACACAGAGATGGAGAATCGTTTGGGGTTGGAATACGAGGCAGAGCGAGAGATAGAACGCTGTGAGGAGAGGAAGAAGGAGGAGCAGAAGAGACGAATAGAAAGAGACTTCCAGATGGAGCTGAAGAAGATAATGGAGGCAGAGAAGGTTCGTCACCGTGGACTTACTATACTCAACATGATGACTTTTATTGTAATTCTTTTTACAACAGATGTAGGTTTGGTTTCAGGTTAGCAAATGTGTAATCCCCCACTGTGTAGTATTTGTCTCCTATATATATATTATTAATACAAATAAATCAAATAAACCAAGTTCTTTAGATATATCTAATAGTAAATGTATTAATTAGGGAATCAGACAATGTAAGGAAACTGCTGCCTTAGTCAATGACTGCTGAGACAGAAACGGCCTCGTTGCCTTTAAATTCAAGTATTCTGCTATGGTGGGAGAGGAATGAATAATAATAAGCAAAGACAACAAGATATATTTAAAGAAAGATGGATCTTGCTGTGGAAAGAACAATATCAATGATATTCTAATCTAAATTGTCATTATTTATTTCATCATGTTTATTTCCTGATTATTACTCTCTGTATTCAGCTCCAGCAGAAGGAACTTGAGTTGATGGAGAAGAGAGCTCAGGAAAAACTGGACCAGGAGATGATGCTTCAGCGGGTAAGTCGGTCAATATGCTAGTGATGGCAGTTTGACACTGAAGCTTCGATACGTGCTTCAAACCCTGGACTTCCTATTCTATAGAAGCAGTGCTTCGAAGCTTGCTTCAAATCACGTGACATATGACGTCCGAAGCAGCAACTGCTTCAAATCACGTGACATATGACGTCCGAAGCAGCAACTGCTTCACTTCCTGAATGAATCACTTGACTGGTTCACGGTCCAATCACGCGATTCAATGCACTGCCTCGTCTCGATTCTGACAGGTGACAGGTTGAAACAGTTTTGAATTTGAGCGCTTCAACACTTTATGACCGCTCTAAACAATGCGCAATGTGTGGGTTGTCGTCGTAGTTTGCGTTGTTGCTGTTGAGTTGTTGTTGGTATTGCATTTGTATTGGATCATTATAGAGCAAGCCAGGAAGAAAGATAGGTCGTTCTGGCTCGGGAGACACTTTGAAATGTGGAGAAGTTGTGGACGAAAAGACAATTATGAGTATTCAAAAAAGATGTCAACAGTTTAAAGAATAGATAGCCCAGTGGATAGAGCCGGCGGCCCGCGTGCGGCGACGTCCTCCGAGCAACTGGTTCAAATCCTGGAATGGATGAGCTTTTAAACATTGCCCGCTTTTCAACTTTAATACTATAACTGATTAAAGGCCCTCTCCGGCCAGAAAAATGCCTTAAAATACAAAATAAAAAGAATAACGTAGGCTACCTCAAGAACTGTGAGTGTTCCCCATCCCACATAATCACCCCCTGCCATAATTACACAAGCACACCCAACCAATGCCACATTTTCCAGCACTCTCTTCTCAATAACCCAATACACACAATTATCAATCTTTAATTGCAAATAGAACATGATAGTGTGTGTGTGTGTGTGTGTGTGTGTGTGTGTGTGTGTGTGTGTGTGTGTGTGTGTGTGTGTGTGTGTGTGTGTGTGTGTGTGTGTGTGTGTGTGTGTGTGTGTGTGTGTGTGTGTGTGTGTGTGTGTGTGTGTGATATCTTTCAAGGCGGCAAAGATACATTAAACCCATGGCAGCCTTGCACTTCGCCAGGAGAGGTCGCTGTAACTGAAGCTTCGAGAAATTAACCTATTTTCGAAACAATTGTCCAAGTGATTCGATGCTTCATTCAAAGCTTCATTTGCCCATCACTACAATATGCTGACTATATGGTGTTTTATTAAATGTATGTATATATTCATTGAATGCAATTGTAACTCAATGTTTCATTTGAAATGGGTCAACTGGCTTTGTTGTAACTCTGTTGACTCTCTTTAGGAAGTGATCCGAAACTTACAGAGACGAGTGGAGGACGAGAGGAGGATGAGGGAAGAGGGGCAGAAGAGGATAAAGGACGAGGAAGACAAGAGGACAAGAAAGGAGGATGAGATTAGAAGGAAGAAAGATGAAGAATGGCGAGAAAAGAGGGAACAGGAACATATGAGAAGAGAGAAAGAGGTGAGGGTTACCACAGAGGAGGAAAGGATTAGAAAAAGAAAAGTAGAGGATGTTCTGATGAAGAAGAAGAAGAGGGATAACATAGAACTTGAAGGTGAAGAAATAAAACCTGAGGAGAGGAAGAACAAGGAAGAAAAGGCTAGGGATGAGGAGGCAAGGAAGAAGGAGACGTTGAAGGAAGTTGTAAGCATAAAGGGAGGGGGGGAAAGAAATATGAAGGAAGACATAATAACATTTGAAGAGGATGAGATGAGGAAAGAGGAAGGACGGCAAAGGGAGAGGAGACAGGAGGAAGAGAGGAGACAGGAGGAAGAGAGGAGACAGGAGGAAGAGAGGAGACAGGAGGAAGAGAGGAGACAGGGGGAAGAGAGGAGACAGGAGGAAGAGAGGAGACAGGAAGAAGAGAGGAGACAGGAAGAAGAGAGGAGACAGGAGGAGAGGAGACAGGAGGAAGAGAGGAGACAGGAGGAAGAGAGGAGACAGGAGGAAGAGAGGAGACAGGAGGAAGAGAGGAGACAGGAGGAAGAGAGAAGACAGGAGGAAGAGAGGAGACAGGAGGAAGAGAGGAGACAGGGGGAAGAGAGGAGACAGGAGGAAGAGAGGAGACAGGAGGAAGAGAGGAGACAGGAAGAAGAGAGGAGACAGGAAGAAGAGAGGAGACAGGAAGAAGAGAGGAGACAGGAGGAAGAGAGGAGACAGGAGGATGAGAGGAGACAGGAGGATGAGAGGAGACAGGAAGAAGAGAGGAGACAGGAGGATGAGAGGAGACAGGAGGAAGAGAGGAGACAGGAAGAAGAGAGAAGACAGGAGGAGGAGAGGAGACAGGAGGAGAGGAGACAGGAGGAAGAGAGGAGACAGGAAGAAGAGAGGAGACAGGAGGAAGATGAAGTGGGCTGTAAAGGGTATGATGTGGACAAAGGAAAGATGGAGAGAAAAGGAGATGAGAGAAAAAGTGTAGAAGCAGAGAAGGAGCTAAAGGAGGAAGCGGTGGGAGAAAACCAGATAACAGCTAACCAGGAAATAAGACTCAAAGAAAAGCAGCAGAGTGAACAGAGAGTGGTGCACCATGGGAAAAAGGAGGAGCAAGTGGTGAAAGCAAATGAGCTGCACGCAAAAAGCAAAATGAGTCAACGTGAGAAAAAGAACATGGATGAAAGGGAAACATCCACTTCCTGGACTTCCTCTGGTCCTTTACACAGCGAGTCTCCCATCAGTGCTGACACCGTACCACAGCTACATGAAGAAGGGAGCATCGATCAGACCTCCATGGATAAAGCCAGGCCTTCTACTGAGTCTGTGTTTCCCTCTGAGAGCCTCCCAGAGCTCACAGAGGAGAGGAGGCTGGACTGGATGAAGGACTGCATCCCCTGGTCCAAACTCTCCCTGCAGAACCGGAGGAAGCAGAGAGGGTCTGTGCGCAGAGGAAGAGGGCCGAGGGGGGTCAGCAGTCTGCCTCCAATCTGCCCTGACTCTCTGCTGAGGGCCACAGGCTGGAAGTCCCTGCTGGAGGTAGGATCTACAGTACAGACGCTTCCAACATGTTTATGTCACAACATGATGAAGGATGGAGTCGTTTGAGAGCTAATATCTAAACCCTATCTACCCTAATATCTCTAACCCTACTATCTCTAACCCTAACATCTCTAACCCTAATATCTCTAACCCTAAAATCTCTAACCCTAACATCCCTAACATCTCTAACCCTAACATCTCTAACCCTAACATCCCTAACCCTAACATCCCTAACCCTAACATCTCTAACCCTAACATCTCTAACCCTAACCTTAAAGGTGGGGTAGGTAAGTTTGAGAAACCGGCTCGAGATACACTTTTTGTTATATTCCATGGAATGCTCTTAACATCCCGATAGCAATGAATATCTGAAATGCTTTGACAAAAAATCCATTAAAAAAATGTCATCTGTGGAAGCTGTAGTACTGTAAAAAGCATGACCAATCATTTTAGCCGGCCCGGCTAAAGTAACTGGATGGCCTACCTGCCTGTCAGCCTTCCATCTGTGCACAAACTTATCTCGTGCCCTCATTGGTCATGTGCGCGTTCGTGTGTGTTGGAGGAGGGGTTCTGTAAGGAAGTGGCAGATTATTTCCAGCTGTGTATTTTCAAATTCTAGCGCACTCGAGCTGGTTTCTCCAAAATTACCTACCCCACCTTTAACATCTCTAACCCTAACGTCTCCCCTAATTAACCTGCAGTGCCAATACTCTCATGTTGATTTAAAAAAACAAAATAATGTCTTTCTCAGAACTGTATTCTCGTAAAACAAATAAAACTTGACACAACTCATCATTTTAGGTTATTGAACTAGATAAGATCATGTACCAAAGCTATATTATAGTTTACAAATTGTAGGTTTAGACTTTGAGTCATCAAATAATCTCCTACTTCCCCCCCCCCTAATTGTTCAATCTTTTGATCTATAAAATATAAAATAATTGTTCATCATTTATAAATTGAAGTGTATATCTTTTAAATGTCCTGTTTTGATTATTCATAAACCCAAAGATACTTGCAGAAAATCACCATATGTGAGAGGCTGAAAAAAGCTATTTCTGCCATTTGGACTTGAAAATAACTCTAAGGAATAATCCAAATAGTATCCAACAGTGAACCTCTGAGCCCTGAAGCATCCCCTCCTCTCTTCAGGTGACCACAGTGACTCTGGAGGATTTACCCGGCTGCAGCGTGTCCTCTCTCAGTCAGTGCACTCGACTCCAGTCCCTCACCCTCAGACGCTGCGGCCTCAAATCTCTGGAGGGCCTCAACCAGCTCGCACAGCTCTGCTACATCGATGTGCAGGTGGATATAGAATAGAATCCTTTATTGTCATTATACAGGTACAATGAGATGAGTAGAGCTGCTCCTTTTTTTAAGGTGCCATAAAAAAATACAAAAAAACAAACGAGAGACGTACAGTACAACATTCAGGAGGAGACAACATACAACATACAAACAACAAGCATTCATACTTCAATATGCAGATAAAGTTAAAGTGCGGGGATATATCGGTTGAAGTCAAATAAATATGTTTGAATGTGTATACAAATATATTAGTGCTGTCAAAATTATCGCGTTAACGGCGGTAATTAATTTTTTGAATTAATTGCGTTAAAAACATTTAACCTATTTAACGCATGTGCAGAATGGCCCGCCCCATACGTGCCACCAGTGGCAGCGCCAGGGTATGGCTGGGGTAGGCTACACCCATACCAAGAAATGGCTTAGCCCCACCATGAAAAATGATGTTAAAGTAAGCAAAATAAAGTCTGCTAACTCGCGCGGAGTAAATTGCACAGAGAGCAGTTAGTAAGATTGATTTCAGTAGCCACGGTTTTGAAAACTTTTGTCACGTAGTGATCGTCTTCTCAATAGAACATCTTTGATAATGTCTTCTGGCCAATCAGAATCAAGATAACGGCGTGGTGTTGTTGCAGGAAGTCCCGACAGAGAATACTTTTGCTGTAGTACAGGGGTGCACATAACTGGTACGCAGGTTATGTGCGTAATCTCTCTGAAATGCATATTGTGTCACAAAGCGCATTTGCGTACCGACGTACTTGTGAAGCTTTTCCAGAAGGCGGTTAGATCACCGGACGACAGAGTCGGTCTCCGTGTGCACAGACAGGGCTGCTGTTAACGTCGGTCTGTACAACGGAATTGTGCCAAAACTACGCCAACCGGCTGCGGAGGGAGACTCCCCCCCCTTCACTGGAGAACTGCGCTAAAACAGCTCATCACAACGTTCACACTCTGTGGTCACGAAGTACTCCACTAGCCCCCCCCCCTCTGTCGACTTTCCTGAAGTACTCCCCCGTTGATAGAAATCAACACGTAATGAATTAAGACCCACGGTTTGATGATTGATAGGTGTGTGGGTTGTCTTTCATTTTGACACGCAGAAAAATGTTATAATAAACATAGATACTGTATGTTAAATGGATATATCCGCCTTCTTTCATTTATCTTTCCATTCCCACAACAATATACATAAAGAAATGGCATATTTTGGACATAGTTCGAATGGTGATTAATCATGATTAATTAATTTTTAAGCTGTGATTAATCTGATTAATTTTTTTTATCGTTTGACAGCCCTAAAATATATATATATATATCACTCCTCCATATATGACATTATGTTCACTCTTATGTGCAGATCTTGATTTAAATATAATTATCTTTCTGAAAATAAAAAGCAATAAATCCACGTTTTGTTGTGTCATAACATTTCACAGGAAAATGACATCTCATTTGTCGACTGTGAAAATATGACGAGTTTACGAGTTCTTCAACTCGGCCACAACAAGCTGACGTCCATCCATGGTTTGACTGGGGCGGAGAATGTGGACGTCCTCGACCTCTCGAACAACTCCATCACCCGCATTGGTGAGAACTGTTGTTTTATCCCCAATCAATCATTTACTTTGACATGAAGTTGTATATCAAATAATATAAATTGTGTCACATCTGAGGTCTAACTCAAGTCTGCAATACTCCACCAGAGGGCAGCATCTCTCTTCTCCTTTAAGCCTGGACTCATTAACTCTTCTGCAATGTGCATTGAAAATGATTTATTTACTGAAGTCAACTTGAGCCCTGGGGCTTAATCCATAAATATATATTGCCCAGACAAGAGGTTAAACACATTAAATTGTATATTTAGCTACTGTAACAGAGGGCTATTGTTAAAACCGAATCCTATAGGAGGGTCTTTGAATTCATTTTTAAAGGGGACCTATCATGCAAAATGCACTTTTTATCTTTTATACATAAAGATGTGTCCCCGGTGTGTCAGGGAACTCACGCAGCGTCAGAAAATAAAACCCTCTCTCTTTTCCTCCGTACCCAAATCTCTAAAAACGGGGCTACAACGGAGCTGATCCAGATTTGCGTCCGATATGACGTAATATCTGAAATGTGGACCCACGGCCCAATCAGAAACGTTGCTATCAGAAACAATGCCCGACTGTTTTGGACGTAATATGGTCGATGTTTACCTTAGCATGGCTAACACTCAGAGCTAACCTGTACTGGAGAGCATGTGTGTGAAGAAGCAGGAAATAAAAAGGAACTCACCTTGTGGTATAACCGGCAAGAGAGAAAGCCTTTGAGCTCCAGACTGTTTCAGAGAGAATCCTTGATAATCCATGATATGGCGTTTCATCACCGCAGTATTTAGTTTAGACAGTAGCTGCCGGGTCCCGCATGAGCTCAGACCCCTCCTTTTTTATTTAATCATTTTTTTTTTTAAAGCTTTATACCCAAATCAGCACTTGGAATATGAGGCATGGCTAGAATGGGTGATCTGTTTGGTATTTTGACTAAAACACTTCATAGATATGTTTTTTATATATATTTCATATATATCTGAGACCTATGCTATTGCCTAAAAATAGCATGATAGGTGACCATAGCTGTTTCTCAATCTGAAGCCGATAAATGTCTTCCCCAGCTGGTCTGGAGTCGATGAAGAGACTGCAGCGGTTATCATTGGATCACAACCAGCTGATCAGCACCAGAGGACTGAGGGACGTCTACACGCTGCTGCACCTGAACTGCTCTCACAACCACCTGGTGACGGTGGAGGGTCTGGAGAACAGCGCTCTGCTCTGCACGCTGGACCTGAGCGCCAACAGCCTCACTGAGGTAACAAACATTAAGGAAAGCACTAGTTCTGATGTCACCGTGGAAACATGATGTTTAAAGTGGATGAGACGTTTGTAACTCAGCATTGAATGAAACCCTCAGCATTCATGTTTCATTTTTTAGGGATGTAAATATTTTGTATGATATTCTAATGGAAAATCAGCAAGAAAAATAGTTTTCATCTTGTATACATAAAACAAAAGATAAACAAATAGATGTAATAATTTTATCAAGATGCAAAAACTAAAATATACCATTAGATTCACCTTTAACCAAGATTAGATTTTTTTAAAGGAATAGGAGTGAAAACCTAATGTTGCAAATACTGAACAGATGAGCAGATTTATTTAAATCAACAACTCGTGATAGAAATCCAATTTGGGGGCTTACATTATCATTTTGAAACGATAGAATTCATAAGAGTGCATGGCTTCTGTTTGACAGAACTCATTGCAATACATTTCCCCCACGACTCACGAATAAAAGACCCCATATGGAACATTTTCAAGTGTACCCCCTAAGGAAAAAATAACAAAAACAAAATCGGAAATCCTAAGGGACATTTAAAATCGGTCAAATATCACAAATTGACCAGTTCCATCCAACCATGAACATTATTGGGGGATTGATGTTAATTCAGTCCTACAAAATGACCGCCTTGAACTAAAACGTGATGTAACAAACTTAAAATAGGTGAACTGAAAGGGATGTTGCCCAGTGTAACTTCACCTCAAAGTCTCAGAAACATCAAAGAGAGTAACTCACTGGTAATTGCTTAATAAGTCAAGAAAATTAAATTAATGAAACATTCAAACAAAAGTAATCAGTATAATAATAACTTAAGTGTAGCCTAAGGCTCCCCATGATTGCAGCAGGGCTAACTGATGACTGTAAACACAGCAGGACTGAAACAGCTGACGTTGATGGACGGGGTCGTTTATCCGTCACTGGACCAGCAGCGGCAGCAGAAAGTTAGCCTAACCCCCCGTGTTACTGACAGCTCCACCCTGTTCCTCCATCAGCCCCCCAGCCTGAGCAACCAGGTCCTCCTGAGCGAGCTGCACCTCCAGGACAACAGCATCTCCTCCCTGCAGAGCCTCAGCGCCGCCTGGATGCCCCTCCTGCAGCAGCTCTCTGTGGCCCAGAACAGGTACCCTCCTCCTACTTATTCTGTCTCTTTGTTCCAGCTATTTTGTTTTATTGTCACATTATACATGGCATTAACATACTGGTTACAACAACATAACAATCATGTTAAAGAAGGCCAGCAAGGTAATACAAATAAAATAAAAGGCTAGGGATATGCCTTATTAGATGATTTAAACTTGAGAACAGGATTAGCTGAAAAGAGTCCAAGGAAGCTTATAAAAGTTAACAGCATTTAATTAAACAAATAATGCGATGATATACAAATGAAAATATGCGAGTGGCGCGGCTCCCCCCCTCAGATCAGCTGCTACCCATTCGCGTGGGGACGTGCTGGGCGGAAGAGAGATCGATTCTTGGCTTGCTTCCCCTGATGTCATCTGTGGTCTTCTCCCATTGGCCGGCGTCGACGGGGGCGTGTCCAATGCAAATCCTGTTGTCAATTTACAATATTCTAATGTCTGTGGTTATTTAAACATTCCCTAATAAAAGTATTGCAGTGTCAATAACTGAGGGTTAAAGACAGTGTGTTTAGTGTATAACACTACGTGTCATTTCTCCTTAAATTCACTTTTTCTTAAAAAACGTAATATTAGCCACATGCTAATGCTAACCGGAAGTGATGATATTTACTGCCAGAAACCGGAAGTTATCCGGTTTTCATAGTACATTTTTCCCACTTTCTGTTGAGTTGTGTTTCTTGTAATCTCTATTTATATGTCAGTTTTTCCATCAAAAATATTTCTTCCACAATGGTTACCTATTGGTCAATTTAATTTAATTGCATCTTTATACCCCACCACACTTATAAAATATCACATCCGCCTTCAACAATCCCTCGGTCTGCATTAAAACTTAAAGGGGACCTATCATGCAAAATGCACTTTTTGATGTCTTATATACATAAATATGTGTCCCCGGTGCGTCAGGGAACTCACGCAGCGTCAGAAAATAAAACCCTCTCTCTTTTCCTCCGTACCCAAATCTTTTGAAAACGGGGGTACAACGAGCGGATACAGATTTGCTGCCGATATGACGTAATATTGGCGGCGGACCTACAGAAAGTTGCCATCAGAAACAATGTTTTGGACGTAATCTCGTCTTTGTTTACATTAGCAAGCCTCGCTAACACTCAGAGCTAACCTGTACTGTGTAGAGCACATGTGTTTAAAAAGCAGGAAATAAAAAAAAAGAACTCACCTTGTGATAAACCCGCAAGAGAAAAAGCATTTGAGCTCCATACTGTTTCAGAAATAATCCTTGATGTGGTTTAGAACAGGATGTCGTTTTATCACAGCAGAATTTAACTTTATCTCCGGTAGAATTCTGATCAGGCATTAGCTCCGCCTCCTATTTTTTAGGACCCACAATCCGCGTTTCTCTAACAGGGCTGCAATAGAGGGGTATGAGCAGTATGAGGCATGGCTACAATGGATGTATTTTAAGCAAAACACTTCACAGACATGTTTTGTATAGGTATGGCCCTATGGTATGGCCCTACAATATATTTTCCCTATATAGCATGATAGGTCCCCTTTAAATTATAATACTGAAAATAACGATGTATACAAAGATAACTTATATTATTATATTAGATTAAATAACCATTGTTACATAGTATTATACTATCTAAAAAGATCTAATCCAAACATCTAAATAAGAGCTGTGGGGAAAACATTTCTAAATGAATGCCCATACCTAACTCTCAAAAACAAATACACAGGCACATTGCTTACATTATAGTCAACATTAGGCACACATACACACATCATTGTCCTTTATATGTCTTAATTGATGTGCAAAAATTCATTATGAGCGTTCAGTAATACATATCTTTGCATAAGGCCTCTACATGACATTTATTTCTTATTATTTGATATAAAAAAGTGAACGCCTTTATTTTGAAGATGACTCATGCAATTTAAAAACCAGTCACATAACGGCATAATGTCTAACAGTGGTACAATATTAGCTTAATACTGTTTTATATCTTTCAAAAGTTGTTATATGTTGTCTCTGTGTGTCCTAGAGTTACCCAGCTGCCCTCCATGTCTGGTTGTGTGTCCCTTGCAAATCTGGATCTTCGATTCAACTGCCTGTCAGGTAACAGATTATTTTAATGAAACAGATTATATAAGCCCTTTCCATAATAGATAGGCATTCCTTCCTCTACTGTGCATGTCAAGTGGGGAGATTCACAAGCTGTTGTTTCAGCTTCTTTACATCCACTTTCAAATCCATTCCTCAGACTCAGATTGATCTTACTTATAAAAGACGATGGCTATAAATGTACATGCACCAAGCCTTTAAGCTCAAACACTTATGATTCGATCTATTTGACATGACACTGCTACATTCATATTGTCTTATTGCTGGCTGTCAGAGTAGAGTGTATGACTTAATGGAAACAAGAGGCATCATCTATTTATTTAGATACATAACAAGATGAGACACTGGATAACGGGGCCCTATTATGCTTTTGGGGGTTTCACTTTCCTGTAGTGTGTTATATAAGTGTTTGTAAATGGTCCCCCCCCCCTTGCCTGAAACGCCTCAATTTGCTTATTTCCTGGACAAAGTGACCTCACTATGTAACACTCGCACTTCTATTGGCTATCGCTCCAACACTGACACTTACCTCAGCCACGTAGTCTCGTATATGCATTACATTAACGCACACAATGTTCATACTGCTTACTGCACATATTTTTTGTTTCATATTTCATATCCTATAATTCATTCATAGCATTCTATTTCCATGTAAATTACTGCTTTATTTGATTGCTATTTAACTATATTTTATAACGGTGTCCTTAAAGATTTCTTGTTTTATATGTTATGTCTGCACCATGACATCAAGTCAAATTCCTCGTACTGTATGTGTGAACCTACCTGGCAACACACCTGTTTCTGATTCTGACATTGTACGAGATTTATTTATTTATTTAATTTATTTCAGTCAGAAGCTGAAACGATTTGCTAAATACCTTTTTCAACATAAAAACATAGGAACAAAAATACTTATATGAACCTGAAAATTGAGTATAATAATAGACCAAATTAGACCAAAAAATTGACAAAGCAAAAATGTTTTTTCCTTTTCTCTATCAGAGCCCCAGAACGTGTGTGAGAGTCTGGAGGGATGTCACTTCCTGCGAGAGGTGCAGCTCACAGGGAATCCTCTTCAGCAGGAGAGAGGCTGGAGGTAAGATAAGCGGTAGAAAAAATATATGTGCTACCGTTTTCTATGATATACATTTTTTATGAATGGAGGAATCTGTTAGTAAGACACATCCAAGCTGATTTGCCCTTAATTCTCTGTTCTCTAACTTCAGCACCCCCTTCTCTGTAGTACCTGTCAAACAGCTTCACATCAAGATACTGTTTTTAACCAGAAAATCTCCGTACAAAAGTTGCAATTTCTGCTTCCCTTTGCTCTGAAAAACCGCTCGCCGCTATGGATGTTCAAAGTAGAAAGCTAGCATTTCTCCATCAAAAATGCAGTCTCCTGGCTCAGGTAGTCTAAACATTCCTGCAGAACACAGGCCTTCCTGTCCACTTCCCGGGATTAGCACTGTGATCCGCGTCCGCTATTAGATTACTGCGCCGTGCCACCGACATCTGCGCTTACGTACGCCGCTCTAAGTGCTCGTAATTCCCCAAATATTGATGCAACAGAAAAATCCATTATCTCTTCAGTGTCAATTTGCTCATTCACTTATCGTGCCTAAATATTTTACCCGAGTTGCAGTGAGTTTATTTGAAAAATATGCAATGACACTCATATTATTCATGCTTCTATTGGCCTGTCATGAGCAATGATGTCACATGTTACATGTTCGCAAAGTTGTTTGGCTCCTCAGAGCTACTCACACCCATTTAGTTACACCAAAATATGAAAAATTATACTTTGCATGCCCCTCCAACTCAGCCCCGTGAAATGTAGACATTTTTAAAACATCATAACCGAGAAGAATTGAATGTCAATGCGCACGTAAAACATTCCTGCCTTTCTTACTACGGACATAACATTTCTTTTTTGTTTCCTTTTCATTATAATATCTTGATTCATGGGTCATTCTCTGTCCAAAAAAAAACTTCTGTGGACTTTTTCCTGCTTAACCCCTTGACTTAGACATCACATTAATATTCCATTGAACTTTACTTAACCTCCAATGCCAACAGAGGAATTAACCTTCTGTATTTCCACTCTCATGCCCTGGCCCTTTCATCCCGAGCCTGTGATAACACCGGTTAAATGAATGCACCAAAAGGCAAGCGCTAGGAATTAAACTCCCTGTAGGCAGCCCCTGATCCGGGAGACGTGGAAGAAGAAAACACTCTGGCTTGATTAATCATGGCCGCTCTAAGAGCATGTGGTTCAGAGGAAGTCTTCACTAAATGAAATACGGGACGTGTGCTCATACGGGATGGAGAAGGGGGACGAAGGAATGTGAGCCAAGAACAGTGTTTCCCTCAGAAAGGAGGATGAACTATATATCAATTTAGGATAGATTCAGGATGAAGTCCAAGTATAATTAATGAAGATATACTGTAGATGTTAGGAGAGAAATAGATTCATAGCAACATTCTTAACCCTTAGATGCATAAGTGGGTCTTTTTTGACCCGGTGAGGTGGTTTTCTTTAAGTATCTTTGTAATTACATTTTTTTATCATTTCATATTCCAGCTATTCCTCAAAAAACATGTTTTGGATATCATGCCATTCACATTTAAATTAAAATGTTAAGAAATTGTAGTTTTTGTATTATGACCCCAAGCTTCCATAAGTGGGTCAAAAATGACCCGCATGCATTTTCTATGGAATTTCGTTTTTGTTTCAAATGTAATTTGTTTTTCTAAAATTATAAATAGTGAAAAATGAAATATAAAATATTTCTAGTGTGAACCAAAATATATACTAAATATTATACAAGTGATTTTTCTTAACCAAAATGACAAAAATGGCATAAAAACACATATTATTCTAATACATGTCCTAGAGTGTAGGGTCCAGTCACTCTGGCATCTAAGGGTTAAAGTAGGACATCTCCTTTATTTGGTTTAATGTAGCTAGTCCTTACACATATACAGAAAAATGCTTTGACCTTAAAAAATGTCAAAGAAATGCAGAGGTTTTCAACTGAAACCAGTAAAAGTATCCCAAATAATTGAATAGGAATCACCTATTGTAAACATCAACAATTGATGGCATCCAATTATTTCCACATTCTCCCAAAGTGTGTCTAAGTGGCGTCCATTCCCCAATTGAATTACTTTCTACACCTCAATGAGCTCATGTAGCCATCAAAAGGTCCTATTTGGGTTTCCCAGAGAACATGCCCGAAGGCTTGGAATCTAATCCCGATCTGTGTCGGAGAGACCAAGTGGGCCCATCAAAACCGTATCCCCCTGACATTCAGCCCCTTATTCTGCGCTCATGTCTTTGTCCAAGGGTGGCAGTGGGGATGGGAAAACTCTAAAGGAAGGAAATGCAAAAGTCCTAAGAAAATGCATTGTTCCATTTTTGAGAATCAGAATATTTAGGTAACCGCATGCAAGGAATTAGCTGTTTTGGATGAAGGCACACAAACAACTCTTGTCAGTGGAGGTTACATTTTGAATAAGAATAAACCACCTGAGGCTTCAAGATTACTCAAACAATTCCATTTATTTCACTTATTTTATACCTTCTTTTTATACAGTTGGTAGTTATGATACATAGACTGCAGGAAACTATTGATTATTCCAGTGAAATTGAGCTGTGTTTTAAATAATCAGGATCAACACTTCTAAATCTATCCTGGCCATTAAGGCAGCCTGATTAGGAAAAAATGACTAATTGCAATTGTTTTGACTGATATCGCAGTTGCATAATTATATGCGATTTGAACCAGAGTTATAATTGTTTTAACATTATTTACATTATAACTCAAATATGTATACAAATTATCAAGGTGTGATCTGTACAATATATATGTTTTTCTTCGGGAGGGATTGCAGCACAATATAACAAATATTGCAATAAGGCGCATTAGTCTATACTGCGATTAATATAAAACACATTGAGATATCCAACTTCAGATTTAGACTGCAATAAGGAATCCCCAAATATAATAAAAACCATACATTATGAGCTGGTGAAATGTGTTATCCCCCTGTGGCGACATAGTAGACGTATAAAGAGCATATGGTGCTCTGGGAATGAATTTTGTTAAAACCAAGTTGTCCAAAATGTTTTATAAATCGACGTTGTAGCCTGAAGGCTTTTGTTTTTATGGGTTGCTGTTCCCCAGTGTCCTGTAGAGTTTCCAGCTCCACATTTTCCCACTGAACGCAGGCCACATTTGGCTCCAACAGTGGATGCTCTGAGTGGGTTTCTCTGTCAGATAACTGGGATTCCTCTGCTCGAACATCCTTAGCCCCAGGCAGCAGCGTTACCTCTCCCCCACACTCAGCCAGTACCTCACATAGGCCATGGGTACAGCTCTTATCCAAAGTGGATAGAAAAACAATATAAGATGACTGTCTAAACGTGTATTAAGTGTATACTTAAGAGGACAAAATGTACGGTGTAGTCAGGAAAACATGTACGAGGAGTGGCCTCAGAGGGACCAGAACCAGTCTTCTCAGAATGACTCCTCTAACCCTTCAGTGGTAGAGAAACCTTTAACCCTCTGAACTCACAATCAAAAGCCTGTGAATATTTAGTTGTTTAACTGAAGGACTCACCAAGCTGTTTGTATTTATTGCAGTGGCAAAGAGTACATTATAAATTGCTGGACTATTATTTAGAACAAAAGCAACAATAGTACAGTTATTTATTTAAAAGAAAAAAAGTGTGATCTGAAATATCAGCTGAAAGTGTCTTAGTAAAGGATAGACTTTGACATATATCATATGTAACCATTGCTATCCTTTTTGTCCAAATGAAAAAATGCAGTGCTATTTTTTTGTGACGCAAATTTGAAAGCTCATATCAATGTTTTATTTTTGATGTAAATAATATAATAGATTAAGATATTGGTGATATTTTGTTTCTTGACTAAGTACAGAAATAGAAATATACAAAACAAATGTCCTCGCCACTTTTTATGGCTTTAAATACCTCTGAATGTAATCCTGTTTTCTCTCCTCTTCAGATCCGCTGTGCAGAAAGCGTTGCCGAGCCTGAGGTCCATCGATGGCCAGCAGACAGACTCCTCTCTAGCACCCCCTGCTGTTCCTCAGCTCGGCTCGGCCTCAGGCAGCTTCCTGATGTTCTGCCAGGCTCAGCTTCAGCAGACTCAGTATTCACAGCAGCAGCTCAGCAGGGAGCTCAGGTAGGAGACTGATGACTGACTGTCAGGGGGCTGGGTGTCCAGAGTGAATGAGTGCAGGTCCTACCAGTGGTCAGAGACAGTGTTCAGATAGGTGTCTTATTCTGAAATCCACTGTAAATTCTTCCTAGAGCTGTCATGGAACAATGAGGGGGAAAAAAACAACTGTGATAACTATAGTTAACTCGGATAAATCACATCATTTTCATCATGATATTTTTCTCGAATGCTGACATCAGTGATTTTCCGCTTAATTGGATAACGCACATCATCTGTCTTGGCGAAACTAACATGTCAAAAGGAATGATTTCTGAAGCAGATAATGGGACAGAATGAGGGAAAAGCTCAGCTCAGGTTTGTTCATTCAAATATGGCTTAAAGTTTTCCTTAAAAAAAGATTTATGAATGCTACATCTCCTAATATTACAGAGACAAGTTCTCTCTTCTTTTTACTTATAATTTATAACTACTATGTGTGAAGTGATACACAATTCCACACCAAATTAGCAAGAAAATACCAATTCTCTAAAGGTTTTTTCCTCTTGATTCAATCAGCGCTGTTTGTTTGATCAATAGGACTTTTGAAGAAAAAAAACCTTGAAGAAACATGCAAGGCACGAGGAAAAGCCCTACATGGATTACAACAAGGGCTGCACAGTTATTCAAAATGTTATTGTTAATATCCTAATTGCATTATGGACTAGTGCATTATCAAAATCGCAGTCAGCGCAATATTTGTTGAAAAATATTTGAAAAATTCTGAATGAACTATTGTGGAGCCGTTGAGATGTCCCGGCCTACAACAAGACTTATAATAAAATTAAGTATAAAAAAAAAGATAATTCCCTCATTCAAAATAATTGCAATTTGTTATTTTTTCAAAAAATGACAACCCTTATTATAACCCTCAACAACAAATGGGATCACTTTGCAAACCGGACTAAACTGAACAGGATAAGCAAATTCAAATAACTACGAATCTATTGACAAGGTTTCACATTACGCGTTTCACATTGTGCCGATCGGCCTGCGGGACAGACAGACACGCAGCCGTCAGGAATGTCAGCTATCCTCTTGTTATGTCTGATACACAGGGCGTAGTGAGGCTTAAGACAACGTCCATCTATTTTCACAAGTCCTTGTATGTCGCTGGCCTCTGCACACTTTGACGCTCCTCTGCGAGACGGACCACCAACACTTAAAACGGTGGTCAGCTCTCTGCTTATCTTCGTGACCCCTCCAAATTACTCGGCACAAAAGATGAAACGTGGCGGCGGCTACCAGCCCGGGTCACAGCGAGGACTCCTATGGCTCGGGGGGTCCCTCTGCTTCACCCCTCACTGTTTGCCCTCTACCCCCCTGGCCTCTGGACAATGATCCTTTCTGCGGACTTTGCAAGGACCAACACGGCCATTTAACCCCCGGCCTGACCTTGTGTCTGACTGAGGTTCAGAGGAGGTGAGCAGAGTGCCACACGCCGCCGCGCTGTGACTGTAAGGTGGGGCGCCATGGGGTTTATCAGGGGTCCGGTTTCACAACTTCTCTCTACAGGGTGCAGAGTGCAGGCTGAATCCTTTGTTCCTCACAAAAAGCCTACATTTTATACCAAAACGGTCCTTTTTATGCAGTTTTCCGAGCAACTTAAATCTCTTTCTATTAATACAAAGTTCAAGAAGCACACATTAGTTCTGTGTTCTCGAGATGTATGATGGGGAATCCATAAACAAACTATAGAAAGTTGAGTTATATAAATTATTTTAGTGTCTGCTTTTTTCCATTTGCTATGTTCTGTCTTCACCAACCAAACCATGTAAAAGACCCTCAGAGAGACACGGATTAGTGCAGCAGAATATAATGAATCTTTCACTTTTCTCTTCAAACATAGAAATGGCATATGGCCCCGGTTAGGAGACACAACACTGCTGTTATTTAACAAAATACTTTACCTGGATGTAATTTATCTCTGGCACGACTGTCCGATGCGTCACACACACCCACCGTAACCTGTGATGTACAAAGAGAAGTGGATACAGAAAAACAGCGGGTAGCTTTGAAGACATTTTTACCATAGGCTTCATATAGAGGCTAAATTATATAATTTTAACTTCAGGCTCCGTCACCTGATGCTGTTGTGCCCAAAATACTTTTCCCCCTTACATTTACATTAGGAAAAGACATCTGTAAATCAGTGGCTGGGAGGTGGGGTTATATGAAATGTTAGTGCATATATTCTATGGACCTAAAGTGCCTATAGAAGGAATGGGGGCCCGCCTCCAACACAATCCCAGTATCCCCAAAAAATACATTCACATTGGTTTTGTATTGGTATACTGGTCTGCTTTGAGGATAGGAACATTTTTTGAAGTCTACTTTAAGGGGACCTATCATGCAAAATGCACTTTTTGATGTCTTTTATATATAAACATGTGTCCCCGGTGTGTCAGGGAACTCACGCAGCGTCAGAAAATAAAACCCTCTCTCTTTTCCTCCGTACCCAAATCTCTAAAAACGGGGAACAACGGAGCTGATCCAGATTTGCGTCCGATATGACGTAATATCTGAAATGTGGACCAATCAGAAACGTTGCTATCAGAAACAATGCCCGACTGTTTTGAACGTAATATGGTCGGTGTTTACATTAGCATCGCTAACACTCAGAGCTAACCTGTACTGGAGAGCATGTGTGTGAAGAAGCAGGAAGTAAAAAGGAACTCACCTTGTGGTATAACCGGCAAGAGAGAAAGCCTTTGAGCTCCAGACTGTTTCAGAGAGAATCCTTGATAATCCATGATATGGTGTTTCATCACGGCAGCATTTAGTTTAGACAGTAGCTGCCGGGTCCCGCATGAGCTCAGACCCTCCTTTTTTTTATCAATTTTTTTTTTTTTAAAGCTTTATCCCCAAATCAACACTTTTGAAACAGGAAGTGAAATAGAGGGATATGAGGCATGGCTAGAATGGGTGATCTGTTTGGTATTTTGAGCAAAACACTTCATAGACATGTGTTTTATATATATTTATATATCTGAGACCTATGCTATTGCCTACAAATAGCATGATAGGTGGCCTTTAAAGCAATACTCAAATGCCCATATGCACATGTAAGAGTCATCGGTGGAATCTAAGATCTATTACTACCAGGATTACAATGTAAGAGATGGGGATCAAATTAACATTCCCAGTTTCTGTCCTCTGTAAAGATGAACTGAAACTCACATGTGGGCTTCAGCAGTCTGACTCAGAACACGTGAGTAAGCTACAGTCTTGCATATTTTCTCTTGTAGTCTCTAAAGAGTATCGCTTCGCATGCAACCACGTTTTAGTCATTTTGGTGAGCTGGTGTCTATCCTAAGGTTGATTATAAACTGCATCTGTACAGCCACTGCTGCAGAAGCACATCAATCTGCAATAAATCACCCACACACCCAATTCATTATATTTAGCACAGATTTTGTGTTGACCGCTGCTTCTCTTGACTTTCTTGCAGCAGGTATTGCAGCCATGACTTTTTCTTCCCCAAAAGCACATTTTTAAATGTAGTTATTCCATGGGGAATTATTTTCCTTAAACATACTTTTCGTTTTGAATGCACACTTGTAGACCGTGGTTAAATTCCCAAAACAAAAAAAGTCACTCACAACCTTACGAAAATGTATAACATATGCATTTTGTTCGCTTTGTACAGCCCTTTGAGGCATTTCTTGTGATTTGGGGCTATAATATAATACATTTAGATTTTTTTTATTTGATTAGATTTACACAGCCAAAGTTATTAAAAAAGATATATAGGTTAAAAGTGAACCCCGGTGATGCAAAAGCGTTTTCTTGATCATTCCTACTCTCTTATAACAGTGGTTTACATGTTGATGGTGACCCTGCAGTGAACCAGCAGGTAATGGGGGGCAGGGGAGGAGGGGGTCAGTGGGGTCACAATCCTTCTGGACCCCGCGACTGCCCCCCCTCTCTGGTCCCACTGAGAGCGAAGAGCCGGGTCTTTGTGGAGCAGAGGCTGCACTACCTGAGGCTACTGGCCCTCAGACTGCTGGGCTCTGAAGCGTCTCTGCCCCCTCAGGGATGAAGACTGGGGCAAAGCATTGCTAATAGATTAATTAAGTTTCTATTGAGGTGGCTTTGTTGTCCGTTTATCCCCTCAATGAAAGAGACATTATATGGAATACACAGAGCAGTCAGGCAACTCACTCACACTCACTTCATTCACCTCAGATGAACCGGCAAGAATAAAACACTTAATGTCTGATATTCCATTCATTAAGATTCTCTACTACTGTTTCAGTATTAGACAGTGCTCCAAACTCAGTTACTCTGAATGTCATGTGGTTGTTTGAATCATTAAAATACACAATGCCATCGATCAGTTATTAAGAAAAATGTTGATTTACAGTCTGGTAAGCAAATATACTGCTGGTAGGGTTTAATATGATTATATACATATTTGTTGTGTCAGAAACACAACATTTGTATTTGGTAGGTTGATTAAATAAAAAAAAGAACTTTAAAGAATCCCCAATTTGCACTTTTTTGACTGTTTTCCAGTTCTACTGATCCACAGCTCTGATATGATCTACTAATAATATTTCCAGTGTCCAACTAATCGCAGTACAACAGATAACAAGTCATAACTAAATGAAAGCTAACATCTTTACATTGAAAAAAACATTCAAACTGGAAGACAGCATGATATGTAGTATATCTACAGCATTGGCAAATTAAATAAGTTTAGTACATTAACATTTAATCAGTCATCCCATTTTAAAGACATTCTAGAAATAGAGAAACTACACATGGAAATCAGCCAGAAGATACATCTGGGATAAATCTTTTTTCTCTTTTTTGAGATTAATTAATGAACTTTTATGTTCCCCAATACAAATAAATGTAACCAGCTTTACGAAACTACACCTAAAGCAGTGTTCTTCTGTGTGTGTTTGTCCACAGTAATGCCTCGTCTTCCCTGGATGCTGTGAAGTCCTCCTGCCGACACTTCACTGAGGCTCTGCAGCTGGCTGAGGACCAGAGATATGCCCATGAGTACGGAGACACCACTGTGACTGCAGGCGCAACAACACCTGAGGAAACACTTGACATGGACAGTAGCAATACTGAAAACCACAGAGAAATGGAATCCACTGGACACGTCTCTCCAGTTCTTCCAAATCGAGACCATACCAGATGCAGCAACTGGACTTTTGAGGATAAGTACGCTGCAGAAATCCAACATAACACATTTAACACTGTTGCAACACATCTAAACACTGGGCCAACAGTTCGAGAAGCAAACTCGGAAAGTGTTCACCCCTCGACAACTTCCTCCAATCTCAAAATGGCACCTGTGTCCAACCATGAGGATCTGAACCTCCAAAGGTAATTTACCACATGCTATTATTATTACTATTTAATCTATTACGATTCAATGGTGTTTTAATGCTTTGTCAAGCACTTTGTGACTATGGGAAAAGCGCTTTATAAATACATTTGACTTACTTACTTACTATTGACCAGAGATCAGTGAAATCAGCTTTTCAAACCAAAAGCTACACAAGTGTACTTTGCTAACTGTAAGCAAACACTATTTTTTATATAACCCTTCATATAGCAGGAGAGCATTTGATTAGTGTCTCCTTCAGAGCATGTTTCACCGCCGGAGCCTCCTCTCTGTGATTTACCGCAGGAGATGTCGAACATCTTATTCATTTTAACACGCAGCTTCATCATTAACATCTCCGGGAGGGCGATAGATCTCTGATGTGAAGGGTGGCTGTGGACAGGCCGACACCCTCCAGAGTCCTGCTCTCCAGATGTCCGCTCAGAGATAAATTCAAACGAAGGTGCTGTGACACCTCGCTCATTCTGTGTGTGTGTTCTTTTTTAAGTAGCACAGCAGCAGTCGGGATTCAGCAGCTGTGTGCTTACAGACAGAAAAGTGGGAACGTCAGCCGTCCCTCCACAGCAGAGGAGGGTGGAGGAAGAGGAGGAAGAGGAGGAGAGCCAGAGTCAGGACCTGCCTTTTTAAATGGGAGCGTTGTTGCTCAGCATTATGCAGCAAGTGTCATCCAGGTAAAACCCTTTTAATGTAGTTGCTTGTTAACCTGTCAATGTGTGATTAAGCGCCTTACTGCTACAACTAGAATTTTCCAGTGAATATCTGAATATTTTCATTTTCACCATTCAACATTTATCTTCATTCCTCATACGTGTTATGGAGGCTTATTCTGCTAATCCTCTGTGTATAGGCACATGCTGCTGTTCTAAAAAACATGCTACTCAACACTCCTCCCAAATCCCTCCGCATCACACAAAGTGTTTGATGGGTCCTTAAGGGCTCTCCGAGGGAGGAGGTGGGAGTGGAGGAACTGTAGAAAAGTGTGTTGTGGCGGGATGGGGGATTCGGAGTGATTAATCAGATTCCAAAGAAGTGCGGTAGTAAGAGTTCTAGGGTTCCTGCTCGGCTCTACTTGAAGTGAAGTGTGCCCCCCGCGGCCCTCTGGGAATTGGAGGATTTAGAGGCTCACTGGAGCTCCATTTGTCTCCGTCCGGAGTCACGCAGAGTTCAGACAGCAGAACACTGCGCAATTAAGAGAGGTGAACATGTTTTATCTCTCTAATGGGATAACACACAATATTTACCTCGTGATTCATGGAGTTTTTTTATTTATTTTTTCTTCAGGCGTTTTGGAGGGGCTTTTCTCTGAGGAGGAGGCTCGCATCTGCTCTGGCTGCTGTCACACGCCCCGACGCGGCAGAGGACGACACCTTTGAGGAGGTGGACGTGGATGAATTTGACTTCGATGAGGTATGTGCTCCTCACGTTCATGGTTCAGTTGTTGCTTCCCCCACGACCTGTCAGACACACAAACTTGCACAGACCTGGATGTTTAATAACTATCCAACATTGTATCCATACAGTTCACGCTCCCGCATAAATAAAAACATGCATAAACACAGAAATATGCACACACATGCAGGAAAACCTGTGTGAAAAGACACCAACAAATACAGGTCCAGAAACATGACTATTTAGAGATTGTATGGGACAGAAACTCCCTCTGGAGGGAACTCAGGGATTTCAGCCTTTGCAGACCATTTACATGCACTAAAGCCTATATAACACACTACACAACACTCTTTGTTGTTCTGCTCTTGTCCTTTCCAGAAATATGCAATTACCGGTAAATACACATGTTTTCTTTCGTAGGCAGCGCTGGAGAAACAGTGGACATTGTCCCTTCCTGAGGACTCTCCTCCCAGACGTTACCTTGTGTCAGACCAGCCACGGTCTCTGAAGGTAAGATGTTATAGTGAAAGTGGTCCACCAGCCCCTGTGTGATGTCAATGGAAGAGCTTGTTTCTTTCTCCTCTCGACCATCGCCCCTTTCAGGATTTCCCTCACTCTCCTCTTTGAATTTACTCTCTTGAAAAACAAGATTATTTCCTGGAGGGCTGAAGGTTGCTCAGATCAGACCAGCGGATGTCATTTTTCACACTGGTGTATCGTCGTCCTGTTTCCCCCCCCCTTCATTTACCTCTCGTTGGATCTTTTCTTTGGAGCACTGTACATCATGGTGGCTGCTTTAGGCCAGCTGATGCGACGCAGCTGCCGTCAGGCCGGACTTATTGTGTTGACACCGAGGTACATATCAAAAGGCAGGGATCAACAATTTAGCACTTTCACACAAAAAAAATGGGATCTGGAGAGAAATGAAGCTGTTAGTTTGACTTACATAAGAGCATTCCTTTTGTGAAAATGCTCTGACAAATACCTAAAAAGAAAACATGCACTTGATTTAAATGATAGTGGACATTCTTGTACACATCATATTTCATTTTACACATACTCAGGACTATATTGTCTAGACAGAGAGGCACATATTTTTACATTTACAGCTCAAGCCTCACAAACTTCTAAAAACACACATGTTTTTTATTTTTCTTATTCAATTTTCAAATGTAAAGTGGAAATGGAAGATTTGAATGAAATCCTCCTTAATCGTCCCACACATGTACGTACAGTATACATAGTACCGCATACACAATGAAAGTTAGTCTTGGCTTTATACCCATGCTTGGGTAGCTATTTCACATCGACCAGAGATCAGCGATCTGGTGTCCTTGCTCAAGTGCACCTCTGCAGTGCCCAGGAGGCAAAACTGGCACCTCTCAAGTCATCAGTCCTCCCAGAATGGCCCAAGTCACGTCTCTCCAGATAGAGCGACAGTCGCCCATATGTAAAGAACCACTTCAGTAAATGAACAACTCTTTTGAAGCCAATTTAGGACCCAATAAACAAGTTATTTAAAATCGCTCTAACTGTAAAAGTGTTAAGAACTTTGGATTATTGCTGACACTGTTTTATGTATCTGTTTCAGCCTCCTGTTCACTTTCCTGAACCCTCTGAGTATATACTCTCACCCCCGCCTGTGTGGAGGCCGAAGCAGGCCTGGGTGCCTCCGGAACAGGCTGCTGAACAGAGAGTTTCCCCTGAGAGGTAGACTCACCCACAGCCTTATTACTGCCTGCCATTTAACTGCATTTGGTACCAAACATCTTACAAAGTAACAGGTTGTTGGTGTGTTTTTGTGTGAGTAGGTTTCTAAACACAGAACAAACTCAAACTCAGTTTAGAATGGGGAATATGCTGTAGGTGTTTAACAGGCTACTTGGAGTAACTATGGTCTTCATATTCACACCTTAAAGGGGACCTATCATGCAATATGCACTTGTTGATGTCTTTTATACATAAAGATGTGTCCCCGGTGTGTCGGGGAACTCACGCAGCATCAACAAATAAAACCCTCTCTCTTTTCCTCCGTACCCAAATCTCTAAAAACGGGGCTACAACGGAGCTGATCCAGATTTGCGTCCGATATGACGTAATATCTGAAATGTGGACCCACGGGCCAATCAGAAACGTTGCTATCAGAAACAATGCCCGACTGTTCTGGACGTAATATGGTCGGTGTTTATATTAGCATCGCTAACACTCAGAGCTAACCTGTACTGGAGAGCATGTGTGTGAAGAAGCAGGAAGTAAAAAGGAACTCACCTTGTGGTATAACCGGCAAGAGAGAAAGCCTTTGAGCTCCAAACTGTTTCAGAGAGAATCCTTGATAATCCATGATATGGCGTTTCATCACGGCAGCATTTAGTTTAGACAGTAGCTGCCGGGTCCCGCATGAGCTCAGACCCCTCCTTTTTTATTTGTTATCTATCTTTTTTATTCTTTAAAGCTTTATACTCAAATTAGCACTTTTGAAACAGGAAGTGAAACAGAGGGATATGAGGCATGGCTAGAATGATCTGTTTGGTATTTTGAGCAAAACACTTCATAGACATGTTTTTTATGTATTGTTATACATCTGAAACCTATGCTATTGCCTAAAAATAGCATGATAGGTGACCTTTAAGTAGGATGTACCAATAAACTGAGATTCATACGACACAGACTTTGTAATATTCATATATTTAAAACAAAGGCAATGGATAGGAATGACATTAGATTTCACATTGCTTATTGTCCATGTCATGATATAGAAATGGCTCCAGAACTAAAGCGCCACCTACCTTGAAGCACTTTGAATTGCCTTGTGTTGAAAGGTGCTATATAAATAAACTTGCCTTGCCTTGCCTTACCTTAAAGTCTTTAATAAAGTGCGGTAAAAAAACATTTAACAACTTATTTTAAGCTCAATAATCTCTGTGTGATTTCAGAAGCAAGTCTCCTGCTTCAGCGTCGGCGCTCAGCCGTCTCTCTGAAAGATCGGAAAAGATTATAGAAGAATGGTAAATCATCGTCTTATCATATATCTTGTGTTGATGTGAGTTTTGTTATTTCTCTGAATGTAATTATGTGTGTGATAGTCTGACCTTTTTTTCTCTTTTTCAGGGGGTTCACTCACAGCCACACAGCTCTCCAGATGCTCAAGAGAGCTCGGAAGATGAAGTCAACTAAACAACAGCAGAGTAAACGTAGAGGTGAGTGTCTAAAAGGATACCGTTTTAAATACACACTCAGTTTCCAGATAATTACTGAAGGTACACCTGGCTTAAAGGTGGGGTCGGTAAGAATGGAGAAACCAGTTCGAGTGCGCTAGAATTTGAAAGTACGCAGCCGAAAACAATCTGCCCCTTCCTTCAGACTTCCTCACAGAGCCCCTCCTCCAACACACACGAACGCGCACATGACCAATGAGGGCACGAGATAAGTTTGTGCACAGATGGAAGGCTGACAGGCAGGTAGGCCATCCAGTTACTTTAGCCGGCTCAGATGATTGGTCGTGCTTTTTACAGCGCCACGGCTTCCACAGATGACATATTTTAATGTATTGTAGTATTTATTACATGTACAGCACTTTGGCCCGACCAAAAATCGCTTTTAAACGTGCTTTATAAATAAACTTTGATTTGATTTATTGTCAAAGCATTTAATGTATTCATTGCTATTGGGATGTTAAGAGCATTCCATGGAATATAACAAAAAGTGTTTCTGAAGTGAATTACCTACCCTACCTTTAAACTTCACATCTCATAAACAACTGTACAATAACTTTAGAGGTTGCATTGCGTTATACTGACAAGTGATTCTATTATTTTGTCCACCCTATCTACATCACTGAGGGTAGACTTAATAACATCAACACCTCCATGTAAAAATTGTTTGCATTTGTGTTCTTGTATGTGGAATGTTTTAGCTTCTTATCCAATGAGCATAAAGTTATATGAAATGACAACAAATATAAAGCTAATGCCGGCAAATCCGAAAGCTCTTATGTTTTCTTTGAGCTAATAAATCGCCTCAAATACAAAGCTTTCTTTAATCAGTAATCCTTCTTCACCTGAACCAATGTGTCTTCCTGTCTCCTCATTCCTAATCTTTAACACCAGATATCCCTTACAATATGGAAGGAGCTGCTTTTGGGACATAAACCCATTTTCCAAAACGGGAAAATATCCACACCCATTATTGCCTCTTTTCATTCTCGTCTTTGTTCCTTCAGCTGTGCTTCAGCAGCCAACCTTTCCACCCCGCGTATGTTAACGAGCCATAACAGACAGCAGAAGCCAGGAGCTGTCGCCTCTTGTTGAGCCTTATTTGAGAGCCTGCGAAGGAAATAACGATTGCCAAGAAACCTCTTGACAAGTCTTCCTGTGATGACTTTCATTCCCTCTCATTGTAGTGGTTGAGCAGTGGAAGGTGACCTCACCCCCGCTCTGCACGAGGAACAGTAGTCCTGCCACGATTATCATGCCAACGTCATGTAGAGGGAGGCTGCTCTTTGATCAGAATTACAAATGCATGACTCCAATAGCAGGGCTCTTGTCATCTTGCTCCACCCGCACACAGGTCTATGTCTGAACTAACTCCTAATGGCATCTGCCTCAGTGGAACCAGAGCGCTGTTCTAAAATGTTCCGAATGTCATATTTTGGTTTTCTGTTTCTTGTTTGAAGCCTGCCTTGTCCTTCTTTGACCCTTTCTCTCTTTTTGTCTCTGCTAGATCCCTTTGACCGCCATTCCTCGGTCAACAAGTGCAGTTACCAGCTGGGACCAGTGGAGGCACGAAACAGGCCAACACAACACATCAGGAATGAAATAAAAGGTAGGGAAACACGCTACTCATTTAAATACACCTTTACATAGATTGAATGTTTAATCTTTAGACTTGAGACAGTTCATTCCATTCAGCCCATTGACTGTTTATAGAAAGAGGCCATAGGCACTGTGACGTCACCCATGTTGACTACGGTTTCAAAGTTTCTACTTTGGCATGTTGGCCATCGCCATCTTAGCTTTTGGCCATAGCCTTCATGGATGTATTAGAGAAACATCGATACAGCATTGAAACCAAAATGATCTGACTCACAAATACAAAGATACCCAGACGATCCGGGAATCTGGGCCTATAGAGCATGCGACCTGTGTTTTCCTTAAACCCCGCCTCCAATCTGCAGCATCATTGCGGGTATAGACTCAGTCAAATTAATTTCCAAGGGAAAATAACTATGGATTTGACCTTTAGGGCATTTAACAATTCTAGGACAATCATTTAAAAAAGGCCTATTTATGTGTTCATCCTGGTAAGTTGATATATGTATACAAAAAAGTATCTGCTGATTTACAGACGTAATTGAAGTTCCAATTTAATTTAATGGGAACAAATATTTGTTGTCCCAATGACATCGCGTGACTGACACATACGTTGTAGTACCACCGTTTGGCCACTACGAAATGTGCGTGCTGCTTAACTCAGACTACGTTTTACAACTTCATTATTTTCATAGTTTTGGCAATTGTCAGTGAGAATAACATGGAATGGTTTATGTGGTGAGATCTGCCAACATAGTTACATCACTGAAATAAAGTTTGAAGTACGGGTGAAAAATACATCACCATGGTAATTTTGGAAATATTATGCCATAAAAAAGCAGTTTTTGTGGTTATTAAAACCAGAATGTTCCAGCAAAGCACATACTACTTTCTGCAGATGCTTTCCCTTATTTTATAAAGCAATGGTTTGTTTTTTAAACTGAGTTGTATCTGAAGAATTTCTTAAAAAAACAAGTCTGTCATGTTTCTAAACGGAATATGTCAGGAATAAGTCATCAACCATTTTTGATTAGAAATGGTTGCAAAAGCTGCACTTACACAAAAAAGACCCAGGTTGTATGATAGCAGAATTTCTCCATAAAATTAACTCACTGGTAAGTACAAGCTTGATATTAAAACAATACATGTATCTGGCTTCACATAACTTTCAGTATCAAGGATGACATTCTTCTTTAAAATGTCATTCTAATGGCTATGGATAATACAAACAATGTCAAAGAGTTAAGTGATTGACAGTTGTAAAGTAGATTGATAGTCCCAGTAGACGAACACATCTCCCTCCATCTTCCCCGCCCCCTGCCCTGAGGTGCAGACATGATTTGGCTTTGTGACATCCACAGCCAGACTTAAAAGGGAGGGAAGAGCTTCAGGGAGGAGAGGGGGGGAAGGGGGATTTGCTTTTATCATGCCTGTCTCCATCTTTCCTCCGCACCCCCCCCCCCCCCCCACACCAGGGTCAAGGCCTCACATCCACAGAGCTTGCGGTCATCCAGCAGTCAGAGCGTTTGCCGACAGGCAGTGAAGGGACTGGTCCAAGTCCAATGCTCACATTAGCGTGAAATAGCCTTAATAAGCCGTGCAGGAATATGTTTCCTTGTCATTTCATGTTGAAGTTATAAGAAAAGGAGCAAATTGTGCCTTTTTAAAACTGGGATGTTAGTCGTTTTGCTTCATCTTTTTTGGGTGGGTCACTTTGGTAATTTGTTTGTAGAGTAGTTGTGAAGGAGTCGCCTCATTCTGCAAAAACTGATTTATTGTTGTCCAGGAAAAGATCAAGCAACAACTTACTCAAACAAATGTAAGAATCTTTAATTATTTTTGCCAAATGTACAAGTCACTTTCATCAGACACTTATGCAGGTGTGGTATGTCACTGTGACCACTGACACTAACACGTGTTTGTGCTTTGGATAGACTTTCAGCCAACTGGCAGTCGAGGACCGGCTCCATCCAAATGACATATTACGTTACAACAATATTTCCAGTTGTGTTTCTTTCCAATGTCCTTATCGCTCCTCTCCGCCCTTGTCGTGATAATTCATCAAACAGGACTGGTGTTTTTGAGAAGCAGCTACATCAGCTGATAAAGGAAGAGTGTCTTTGGTTAAAACATCACTCAGATTCCCAATTTAACGAAGGGGGATCCTGCAAAATCTGTTACTCTAATGGCGCATTTCCACTACAGCGCGGTTTAAGCGTGCCGTGCCCGGCCCGTTTTTGGTTGCGTTTCCACTTGGCGTAGTTCCGGCTAACGGGTACTTTTTCACAGTTTTCTGGCTCTCCAAAATCGAGGTTCTTTCCGGGCCAACAACCGGGCTGAGTATGCTAAACTAGTGAGAGGATCGCTGGCAACTACAACAAAATGAACATATTTGACCGTGATTTAATTGTAATACACGTTTCCAAATGATGCCGAAGTAACAACATTCTGATACCGGTTAGTAAAAACCATGAAGTAATGCTTTGACAAGTCTGCAGACAGACGGCAGGCGAAAAACCTTTTAAAATGCGTGTTTTCTGAATGGAGATTGGCTAAGCTAACGTGTGTATGCTCCGACCGTCCACACTCCCAACAACGGCCTACAGACATAAATAAAGCAGCGACTGTATTCGCCATGACACAGGCAGTCTGTGGTTTGTACTTGTTTAACTTTTGTCTAGTTTCTGAACAGATATGAGGAGCTGTGAGCTCTGAGTGCTAACAGCTAACGGCGGATGTTGGTTTTGTGTTTCAAATTGAAGATGACGTCACGGCTCCGCCTACACTGCGTTACTATAGTTACTGCCCCAGCTACTAAACTGTAATGGAAACGCAGCATAAAGTGAGCCTGGCCTTTCAAGGCCTAACTATACCGTACTAAGCCGTGCGAGGCCCTGCAGTGGAAATGCGCCATAACTAGCCCCGTTTTAGAGGTTTTCTAAATCAACAGATTCTCTAAAATGGGTTAAGGAGTCGACTCGAGCAACAATCCGTTCCTCTAACCTGCTTGGTTTTAGAGGTTTTCTTAATTCAACAGATTTTTGTATTTTATTATATATGTTGCAAAGTTGGAGGAGCTCAGGTCAGAAGAATTTCATTGCCATTTCTACACTGTAGCTGTCATGGTCAGATTTGCATATGACAATAAAACCTTTGAATCTTGAATTTGAATCTTGAATCTGTAAAATGGGTTAAGGAGTCGACTCCAACAAGATCCGTTACTCTAAGTAACGGATCTTGTTGGAGTCGACTCCTTAACCCATTTTCCATAACCCATCCATTAACCATCTGTTGAATTACAAAACCCCTCAAACCGAGCAGGTTAGACTCTAACCCGCTCGGTTTGAGGGGTTTTGTAATTCAACAGATTCTGTATAATGGGTTAAGGACTCGACGATATATCCCTGCACTTTCACTTTATCTGCATATTGAAGTATGAATGCTTGTTGTTTGTATGTTGTCTCCTCCTGAATGTTGTACGTCTCTTTGTCTTTTTGGTGGCACCTTAGAAAAAGGAGTGGCTCTACTCATCTCATTGTACCTGTATGATGACAATAAAGGATTACATTCTATTCAGCTGCCTTTTTCCAAGGTGATTGTGAGGTAGCAGCACCGGTGGCGGTGTAGCTGGTGCTCAGGTCTGTAAACGGGCCCTCCTCCCCTCCTGCCCCCCTGGTCCTGACCTGTGGGAGCACCCCCTCCTCCGGATCCGTCCCCAGCGCCCGGGGACTCTCAGCCCGGCCCGGCCCAGCCTCGCTCCCCGACAGGGGCTAACGTTTCAGGCTTTGAGTCAAGACCCTTCTGGAGGTGATTAGCCCCAAACCCATGACAGATTCTTTCCAAGATATCCGACGCGGCGTGTTTATTTTATCCGGGCTCTTTGTGTGGATGTGCTGGACATGAGTAACCCACTTGAAATGGGTATCAGCTTACATACCCAGAGAGGGAGATAGAGAGGGAGAGAATGGAGCAGAGCCACAAAACATTTTCTCTTTAGAGGCAAAACATGTAGAAACACACTTCCCCTTTTTTTGTGGTTTGTATCATCATGTGTCTGTGTGCAGCAGATGTTGCAGATGTTGTGAAAGCGTTTCTCCTTGGTTCTCCTCTTACTTGTTCACCAACTCCTTTCACTCAAGCCCCCCAGGCACACACCCCCTTCCAGCCTCCGTCTTCCAGCCCACCAAACATCCGTCCTCATGTCAGAGGGACACATGGGTATATATTTTTATTTCAGACTGGAACCCCTACCTCCTGAGCACTTAACTCGATTTCACACTTCAAGTCCTCTCCAAAGTCCAGCTGAAACACAATCGTCTTGTTTATCATCCATCCTCCAAAATAACTTCATGTCAGACTATTTACCACCATTCATATGCATTCAATTTCACCCCCATTATCTCCTTTTTATCTCAGGCAGTGGAGCGCTCTCCTCATAGAGTATGTTTGAGATGCACTGGCACACTTAAGGAAGGAACTAGCAGAGCTAATGTATATTTGGGCAAAGTCACTCAGTAAGACGGACAACCAACTAACAACTGACTTAAGATCTTTAAGATGGTAGGCTTTCTGCCTCACCTTCCACATTTGGCATCCTTTTTGCATTTAAACGTGGAGGACACGCTACAAAACTTTGTTTTAATACCTTAAAGGTGGGGTAGGTAATTTGAGGAACCAGCTCGAGTGCGCTAGAATTTAAAAAAAAAATCTGCCACTTCCTCACAGAGCCCCTCCTCCAACACACACGAACGCGCACATGACCAATGAGGGCACGAGATGAGTTTGTGCCCTGATGGAAGGCTGACAGGCAGGTAGGCCTTTTTATTATGGATTTTTTGTCAAAGCATTTAAGATATTCATTGCTATCGGGATGTTAAGAGCATTCCATGGAATATAACAAAAAATGCATCTCGAGCCGGTTTCTCAAACTTACCTACCCCACCTTTAATACCTCTATATACCTTAAAACGTTATAAGATCTGTCTTACTTTATGGTGGAACTTCCTTGCCGATCTACCATACTTGTTGTAGTTGTGCATACTCAGAGCGTCTACTGTGCAAAGCAGAAATATGACCAACATTACAGGTGTTTTCATTTTTGTTTCATGTACAACTACAGTGGTTTGAATAATCTCACTTTCTTCTCATTTACAACCTTACTTTACAGTTATACTTCTGTGTTTATTGTAGTTTGATTCCCACATCTCCGCTCACTTTCCCTACACTGTCCCGGATCCTCACTCACAACTCATTCAGTTGTTATTGGGCTCTGCTGTGGTCCTGATGCACCGCCTGACCCTGGGTTGTTTGTTTCTGCAGTGAGGGAGGAGGAGGCGGCTCCAAAGTGCCAGCATTCTGTCTCTCCTTCAGCTGGGGTTTTCTCCCGGCCAAAGCCTCCTCCCCCCCCCCACTCCTCCTCCTCCCAAACCCTCTGATATTAAGTCAGAGCTTTTCCCTTCTCAGAAGAGACGAGATCTCTTAATGTGCTTAAGAGCCCCTCTTAACAGGCATGACTCCTACAGGCCCCCTCCTGATGTCCTGGAGGAGAACTGGAGGGGAAGAGGGGTCAGCAGGGGGCTTCAGGGGGGGAGAGGAGAGACGGTCTATGCTACTGAAGTAAACTCTTTTCATGGTGCTCATCAACTTGTGATTTATACATTCCACCATTCATGAATTCACATCTAGGGATTTCAAATTTAAAGCCATTTTGCCTTTCATTATTATTTACTTATCAATACAGGATCCTAAGATTAGATAGGTAGGTAGGTAGGTAGGTAGGTAGGTAGGTTATCCCGAAATGGGAAATTATTTCGTCACGGCAGCAGTGTTGTGAAGCATTACACAAGTTACAAATATTGAAAAGATACAATAGGATACCAATATAATAAAAATTAACATCAGCGACAAGTACATTCAAAGTCACAATAGAAAGGACATATATCACTAAAGTATCTAAGTAATATCCAATATAAAGAAAATATTGAACAATATACAATCTCACTAAGCTACAGAAATATATAGAAATATACAATAGACACATATTGGCATTGGATTATACTGTGTACATTACAATTGTGCAAAGTAGCAGTTGTGCAAATGAAAAATTATCATTTATGAAAACATCCCCCTTTTTTTGGAGTGCTTCATTAAGCACACTTTCTCTTTTTCCAAACTGCCTTCGCCTTGTCTCTCTGTGTGTTTTCAGCTTTTGGGAAGTGCGAGTAGCCATTTCCTGTCCGTCGCTGCCCCGGGGGAATCATCCATCACTTGACATTTTTAGTGGGGGCTCCTCAATTAACCCATGAAAACTGTAAAGCTATTCTCCCCCCTGTTTTGTACAGCTCAGCAAAAGCAAGTTAATGGCTTAAATAAATGCATCATTAGTTCCAGCATCAGGCTGTCAAAATCCATTATCAGTTTACACCCATCTGCGGCGGCATTACTGTCAGCACAACGTAAATGTTTGCTTTGAATTACGACCTTATTATGGGATTTCAGCATAACCTCGTAAATCAGCAGCCCTTCAGATTTCTCTCTTTAGCAAACACTGCTTAGATTCAATTTAACAAAGAACCACAATTGTTAGAAAAAGTAGATCCCCTCCTGTTGCATCTATCAGCGACTTTAAATAGCAATGCCCCTGAGTCCTCCAAACAAATACAACACCTTATGCCCAAACGTAAACACTTAGAGCTCTGACCACTGATCTCCCAGTGCTGGGAACTGGCCGGCTGTAATTACAGTGTGACATGTCAACTGTTGCTCCAGATCAGGCCCTTTTGAGCTGTTTATTTGTTAAGCTTGTACTTCTGTGAGAATCTGTTAAAACAACCCCTTCCCTGCAGTATTGATTACGCCGAGAAGCATGCCACCTTCACCACAACGTTCCCTGATCAGGCACAGCACTCTCGTCAAAAATGTTGCTTAGCTTTCAAGAAAGAAAAAATGGCCAGTGACGTTTGTTTGATGTTTCCTGTCGAGTGCAGTTGTCCAGGCTGAGCTGGAGCTTCAGCAGGCGGAGAAGGTGGAGCGAGTGAAGCAGCAGCGAGCTCAGCAGTGGCTTCAGACCCAGGCTGCTCGCTCTGACCGGGGCTCAGAGAGGTGAGGCGCTTCATCAGGGGCTTTAAATGGTCACTTTAACCAATTACAGACAAAAGCATTTTGTAATGTTTTTGAAACGTTTTTCTCTGTGATTTCTGACTGTGCAACTGGGACGTTTTGTCAAGAGAGATTCTTTGCTGTTGAGCTTTTAAATATTAAACATTGAAACTCTCTGAGCATCAAGAATGTAAGAGTCCTTTATGCTGTATAATTGACCGCATGTCATGGAGTGTAATAAGGTATCCGTAGACCTTTCTATGAGACAACTTTATTTACCTAAAAGGTCTTCAGCCATGGTACATACTACTCAGTATCACTCCGCGCCACCATCAGCACTGATAGTATATGTGCACAGCATACGTCTCAGAGGGGGATACCGAATAGGCAAAACTATTTGTAGGGTGAGATGCCACTTATTTCCCCACTAAAATAAAGTTAAATTAACTCTTTTACAGTAATTAAAAATACATTTCCATCCAAACATATTGCCAAACTTAAACACATTTAAGGGGATGCTTGCCTCCTGGATGCATTTATAACCAACAGTACAAATACACTACATCGTTCTGTGCAGGGAAAGTGAAGAAACTAAAAGTTAAAAAAACAAGTGAGACGAGGGAGATTTGATTTATTTCAAGTGGTCAGGTTTTATTAATAAAAAAGAAAGGATATCTGATTGGCCATGCTTAATTCTGTTAATTTAAAATATTGTAAAATGTTATTATTGTACTGATTGTTTTTGGATACCAAGGAATCAGTTGAACCAAAATGCCAAAATAAATACTGTTTATTCAAATACATACCATACTGTAACCGAGGCAGTGAGCAGCATGTTGGCCTGTGCAACCCTACATAACAAATAGACGTTAAGATGATCAAACATGGCATCTGTGTTTAGTTGGTCAGAGGTAATAGCTTAGCGAGGAAGAAAGGAATCTGCTGAATTGATTTGAGATATGCAGAGCTCTAAATGTTGGGCCTTTTTTTCCTTATCTTTTACTCAGCGTGCATTTCTTACCGGAGATCAGCTCGGACATTCTGAACGGAGGCAGAGTGCAGCTCGTGGTGAGTACACCGCCCCTCTGTTTCCCCCATGTATTTCAATGACAGTGCATCTTGATTTTGATCTTCTCTAGGGGGGTTATTTTCATGCATGTGAAGGTATGCAGTATTTACATTCAGCGGTCCTGCAGTGGGTTCCCTCTCCTGGAGCCTGTCTCCTTGGTTTGAAAGGAGGCAGGGGGGGAGGTTTGTTTCGCTCCACAGTGACACTTCCAATTGGATCAACCGGCTGCAATTTCTTCATTTTACTTGCAGAAATCCTAGTGTCACTTTGGAGAAGTTTGCATGGACCCGTGAACGATTGTGATGCTCGTGAGGGCTTTGAAGTCGGGAGTAACAGGTCTCCCTGTAGTTATAGAGCAGTTTGAGTTATGATCACTGGCAAGAGGAGACGCCCTCTCCTCCTGTTTCTTAGATATGTTCAGATGGCAGAGCCCCTGGTTGTTGAATGTTATTCAAAATGCAGGAGTGCTTGCGTGTCATGTTGGGCCTCTTTTCTGTGTGTGTTTCTGTGCGTGCAGGCAGACCTGGGATCCGCAGAACGTCACGCCAGCGGATCGTGCGCCAACAACAGTTTAGCTGCCCAGCCCTGCAACGAGAACGATTATCCTCACAGAAACTCTTTGGGTCATGCAAGTGAGTCGTTTTTCGACCCAAAATCGCCCCGTTTACAGGGGATGTCCGAGTGATTGTTGAACAGAATCCAAAAAAACATTAATAAAATGTTCTGAAACACAATCTACGCCTATTCTCTTAAAGTAAACAATTCAAGTCACTGACTCTGTTTTTAATCTTCTCTTATAATAACTGGTAATCCAGATAAATGTCAATAGAGACTTTTAATGCCAATGTTTGATTTAAAAGGTCATTTAAACAACATTTTCAGTAAGGAAATAATGAGCAGTTTTTCACATATAAACACACACACATGCCTAACATATGATTCAAATATTAGACAGACAGATATATGTATACTGTATGTATTGAATATGGTTGTATAACATATTTACTTGATGCTTATGTTAGCTTTATGACACTTTTTATGAAGTTAAACTGACATTTTGCCTAAAAAGTCAAAATGTTTGAAGCAATTTCATGTACAAACCTAAGAATATATATCATCAGTATCATATATTGTCATTATTTTAATATCTTTGTATGCAAATGTGTGTATATACCTGTACATTAAGCACATGTGTGTACAGATGTTTTGCACCCGTGTGTAACACAGGCCTAAGTCCGCAGAGTCTCGATAAAGTCTGCTGCTTATCCAGCCTACACTGAGTCCACTAGTCGGCTGTTTCTGAAAGAGGAGAGGGGGGTGGGGGCAGCATGAGGTCGGGCCGGGGACAGAGTGCCGCGAATTTCTCCTCTGACAGGAAACGGGCAAAAAAAAAAAAATCCTTTCAGTGAAGAATGACTGGGTCTTCTGTCAGGAGTTTGAGCGACAAAGATGCCACTGACAGACTGACGACAGATGACCACTTTAAACAAGCTCAGGAATCCAAGAGAAGGAGAGCCCTGTCGTCCCCGGTAACGAAGACAAATTGGATTCCGGTGATGATTTCAAAATGATTTCCACGAGGTGCAGCAACGAGCGTTGTCGTGTTAGGCAGGCGGACCGAGAGAAAGCCCCTTTGTCTTCCATGATGAAAACACCACTTAGCAACATTTGTCAAATTGAAATATGAATGTATGTCCAAGGCAAGAACATTTCTCATAAAGCCAATTAGATATGATATAAACTTGGAAAGGGCACAAAGGGTTCTGAGTTGCATCATGAAAAACAAATTAGAGGAAATTGGTTGAAAATAGGGAATTAGCTAAATAAGCCTTTTTTAGTCAACCCACACACCCCCAAATAGGCACAACAAATTATATTGATCATATATGTTGTGCCTTCTGAAGTGGCGTGCATACATCAAAGTGAGGCTTTAAAGTGACGAGGTTCACTTGCTTTGCCATTGCAGTCACGATGACATAAATACTCTTTAACCCGCTGCAATGCGATACTCACCACTTGCTGGGACGCTGCCATAAAATGCGTTTCCAGGCTCACAAAATATTTTCATTACCTGTGCACAGGAAACCACTTGAGTTGCATATCTGCTCCCTCAATTTCAACTCTAATAGGAGTACAATGATCGAAAACTATTTATTTGGTCACAGCGGTTCGGGTCCAATGTGCGGCCATTTCTTTCCCCCCCCATCTCCGTACATTAAATGGCACGACCGCAGTACTTTCGTCGAGATTTACAGGTTCTGTTTTTGATTTAGGTCAGATAATTGGACAAAAGTCTTTGATAAACCACCCGAATTTCTGAAAATAAACACAAAGACTGCGGTGGTTTATCTTCAAACTACATTACACGAATGTGAGTGGAGGAAAACGGTGTTACACGACAGACATGTGTAAAATCTAAATCTTTAGAGGTGCGATTAGGTAAGGCTCGAGAGTGGTTGGATATTCTATACAGTGTGCCAGCTGTGCAGATATCTGGAGCCGTATCTGCCCCCCCACCATCCTCCAGAGCCCTCCCGCTGTGTGGCGCCCTGTGTGTGGCGGCCGACACGTGGAACGCATCACGCCCGGTCGAAGCGCTGCCTTTGTACTGTGTGTTTGAAAAGCTCTGCACTGATCCCCAGGTGGAAAGGAATGGGCCTCTGGTGCAGCTCACACACAACTCACCTGCTCAGACTTAAGACTTTACAGCCAGGTTTAACATTGTGTTGTCTCGAGCCTCATGAAAGAGAGACTCAACTGGAGTCAAAATGTAACTCATGCAAGGTCAAGAGTTGCACATTTTTTGTTTTAAGGTTTTAAGGAACACTCTTTGTGTTAGATTACATTATTATTGCTTAGATAAATGGCATGATTGATTGGTTGTTGACAAGAGCAACTAGAGAGAGAAAGTTTTCTTTGTTTTTTGATGAGACAACATGAGATCATATTTTGACTCGGTCCTTTTAGAGCAGGGGTGTCAAACTCAATTTCATTGCGGGCCACATTCGCATAAAGGTTGCACTCAAAGGGCCGGTTGTAACTAGATATATAATATATATATAAAATATTATATTATATTACATTATTGCCTCTGAATTGGATTATTATCGGATAGGATAATAACTTAGTAATTGACTACGTCTGAAAGCAGAAGTCCACGGCAAATAATTGCAAGTCTCTTCAGTGGCATGTCACAAAACGAGATGCATTGTGGGACATGTAGTTTATGGACAACCTGCTTCTGTAAAGTGGCATGTAACCGTATAATAAACGTATTATATTCTTTGCAAGCTCTTGCGGGGCCACATAAAATCAAGTCGCGGGCCGGATTTGAGAGGGAAATCCTTAGGTGTACAATAAATAATACATTACTTTTCCCACAACCCTAACAACCTTTCAATGATGATTTTTGATAACCTACGCTATTAAGGACCATAACAAGGTCTGAGCAAATAAGAAGAGCAGGCCATGTCAGCAACAATCCAGTAGAATCACGATTGACGAACACTAAATCTTCTATTTAAAAAGCACACATTGTATGCATTACCATCTATGATAAGTGGATTTGACACCGTTCGATTCACACATGAGATATTGAAGCATTTTCCTTCTACGTCTCCAGGAAAAGAAGTCCCATCTCCTCCGAGAGTCACGTCGGCTCCGTCAAAAAAGGAGCGCATGTCCTTCCGAGACAACCCAGTCATGAAGAGCGGCGGCTGGGGAGGAGGCAAGAAGAGGGACAAATTCTACAAGTAAAACACAAACTCTTCCACAGCCACTTCACCTTTTAAGATATGTCTTTACCCAACATGTGAAGAACTCAGACATATCTATCTGATGTTGGTTCATTTTCAGATAGATATCTTAAGAATGCAGGTTCTTCAAAATATGTGCATTGAGTTCAGGAAAGTTTGGATGCAATTGTTTGCTAACAACCTGTGTTGTGGTAATGACCCGACATTTGAACCAATGGATCTCACAAGACCATTTCTTCCTTCCGTGACGAAAACTCTCTTTATTTTTATTAAAAAGGATATTTCCCCCTGCAGCTGTTCTTTTCAAACTCAGCTGAAAACTTGAGCTCCCCGTCCCGAACAAAAATGAATTAAGAGCAATAGGACCCGGACCAGCCCAAATATCTTCGGGCACTTTCGTTATGTTGACTCAGCTCAAGTTTCAGCACCTGAACCAAACACATGGAACCAAATGGCACGCTTCATATGCAAATGATGGCAGGAAATAAGAACCAGGAACTTTTTATACCCGTGAATTCATGTTTCCTTGGATGCTGAACGGTTGTTTCTATGCTGATTTACTGTCTCGACAACAAACTAAGTAATTAGTTTGCAGCCGTGGGAAGAGACTTGCCGTTTACACATATTCTGCTCTTTTAAGACTAAAATGTAACCCTTAAATAGTTTCTGTATCCTGGAGGACACATTGCCCCGATAAGGTTATACAACAGAGATAATCACTCACAGATAGACTTATGTTTTGAAGCCTATACTTGTGTAAATACAGTGAATTATGGGTCTAATAACAGCAATATGGGTGGAAGATAGGTGTAATAAATGGGTGTAACACAGGTGGAACCTAGATGTACTATGGGTGTGAAGTTGGTGTAACATGGGTGTGATATGGATGTACAGTAACATGGGTGTGATATGGATGTACAGTAACATGGGTGTGATATGGATGTACAGTAACATGGGTGTGAGATGGATGTACAGTAACATGGGTGTGATATAGATGTACAGTAACATGGGTGTGAGATGGATGTACAGTAACATGGGTGTGAGATGGATGTACAGTAACATGGGTGTGAGATGGATGTACAGTAACATGGGTGTGAGATGGATGTACAGTAACATGGGTGTGATATGGATGTACAGTAACATGGGTGTGATATAGATGTACAGTAACATGGGTGTGAGATGGATGTACAGTAACATGGGTGTGATATGGATGTACAGTAACATGGGTGTGATATAGATGTACAGTAACATGGGTGTGAGATGGATGTACAGTAACATGGGTGTGATATAGATGTACAGTAACATGGGTGTGAGATGGATGTACAGTAACATGGGTGTGAGATGGATGTACAGTAACATGGGTGTGAGATGGATGTACAGTAACATGGGTGTGAGATGGATGTACAGTAACATGGGTGTGAGATGGATGTACAGTAACATGGGTGTGATATGGATGTACAGTAACATGGGTGTGAGATGGATGTACAGTAACATGGGTGTGAGATGGATGTACAGTAACATGGGTGTGAGATGGATGTACAGTAACATGGGTGTGATATGGATGTACAGTAACATGGGTGTGAGATGGATGTACAGTAACATGGGTGTGAGATGGATGTACAGTAACATGGGTGTGATATGGATGTACAGTAACATGGGTGTGAGATGGATGTACAGTAACATGGGTGTGAGATGGATGTACAGTAACATGGGTGTGAGATGGATGTACAGTAACATGGGTGTGAGATGGATGTACAGTAACATGGGTGTGATATGGATGTACAGTAACATGGGTGTGAGATGGATGTACAGTAACATGGGTGTGAGATGGATGTACAGTAACATGGGTGTGAGATGGATGTACAGTAACATGGGTATGATATGGGGGTGAAAAGGTTGTACATTGGGTGTGATATTGGTATATTATAGGTGTAACCTGGGTGTAATGTTGGTGTTATATGGGTGTTATATGCATGTAACATGGGTGTAACATGGGTGTTATATAGGTTCAATAAAAAAATGTATACCCCAAATGGGCAATACATTTTAGAAAAAAAAGTCACATTTTGAAAAAAGTCATGAAATTGTAATTGTAGCCCAGATATTAGAAAACAGTAATTCTTTAATTTCCCCAAAATATCGCCATTTTAAGGGTTAAGTGTCATTTTAGTGGCTACATTCAGTTCCTGCTCTCCAACAGTGGGCTTGAAATGACTGCTTTTAAGCGCCGGGCGCAAACATTGGTGTTGGAATTAGAACAACGTTTCCTTTATTTCCAGTCGTGGATTATAATGGCCTTGTCTCTGGTGTATTTGAGTTTGGAGAGCTACAAGGCGTCCGTCCGCAAACACTGCCCCCCCGGAGGCGATGGACCTCGAGGCTCGGAGGTTCCTCGCCGCCTGGAAATGATAACTTAATGAATGTCAAAACAAATAGTCGGAGCTGCAGAGTGGCTCCCTGGCAGGAAATGCATGTCTGTGTATTTATCTTCTCCTATCTTTCGCTCTGCACATGTCTGCAGGCTGTGTTTTCACTGTACTGCAGGGATTTCAGTCTTCAGAGTGGCGTATGCCAGAGATGTGGTGGTCCAGCCCACTTGGGGGATGTTGTGAAACCCAAGAGCAGTGTTCTCCTTCAGGGGGGACATCAAGGGGGGAGTATCTGTCATCAATCAGTCAATACACAACTCTGATAAAGCCAACTTCAGATATTTATTGCATACATCATGCAGAGACAGGTGAAATAAATGTGTAGTTATATATTGTCACTTTCTTTGACATGTGTTCAGGTTTCCCAGGCTTTCCTCCCCAACTACCGCTGCTGAAATGATATTGTTAAACCAGCGTCCACCAGTCTTCATTATTTCTGTTTACTTTTGGGTTATGGCTAAATTATATGTAACTTAAGACATCCAAAATCCATTGCGTGGTGAAATGAGTGCTCCACCGCACATTTAGATAAGATGAGGAATGTCCCTCTCAGCCTGCCTGACCTCAAGTCAGCACAAGTTGTCAGATGGAGGCTGCCAGAGAGACCTTGGATATCCAAATCCCTCTGAGTGCTGTCTTCAAGTGCATTAGACTAGAGGACCGTAACAGAGGCTGCTTCCAAGTTTTAGCTACAGTTTCGCACAGTGTACATTTTGCTGAGTATTTTTGAAAGCATGCGGTACTGCTTTCGATTTTTTGAAATTTTTTGTCAGGCGTTCAAGGTAAATTTAACTCAAGACAGTTTTAGGAAGATTCAAGAGAGATTGATTTGTATATAATTGAAATTGCCCCCAATTTGCACTCCTGTTACATCCTTAATACACTAGTAGGGCCATATTGCACCAATATTACAGGTGAAACCATCTTACATCCACATTTCACTGTTATTACTGAGTATAGGCTTCTCAACACAAGTATATATGTGGAGATTATCCCTGTTTTATAATCTGGGCAATGTGTCCTCAAGGTTACAGAAACCACTTCAGGGTTGAACCACAGTTGTAGTTATATCATTATTCAGAGATACGGCTTCACTAAGCAATTAAATGTAAAAAAACTACAACTCAAATTCCCACAATCACTTACCGATAAAGAAAAGATTACATAACGAGATCTCTTTTGATGTATTCCTGCTTACACAATTAGCCATCTCTTTTAGCTAAGGTAAAGAAATAGGAAATGTATATAAACTCTGAGGAATGTGCAAGCTCTCTTGAAAATGTGAAACCGACTTATAAAGACATCGTGAATAAACTGGCGCAGGCAGAAACGTCTCTGCGTTGCTCTCTGGTGAAAGTCAGAGCTCATTGATTCTCCCAACGACAACCGGCGGTTTAAAACATCCCAGAGATGAAAACAGGTCTGAGGCGTTCCTCTAAATTGAGGGCAGGAGTGCTGTCACATGATGCCTGAGAGAATGACCTTTTAGAGCAGGGGTGTCAAACTCAAGGCCCGGGGGCCAAATCCGGCCTGCGACTTCATTTTCTGTGGCCCCACAAGAGCTTGCAAAGAATATAATATGTTTGTTATACGGTTACATGGCGATTTACAGAAGCACAATGCCCATAAACTACATGTCCCACAATGCATCTCTCATTTGACTTTTTTCTCAGATTTGACTTTTTTTTCAAAATGTCACTTTTTTTTAATTTTGCTTTTCTTTTAAAATCATTTTGTGACATTCTCACTGAAGAGACTTGCAATTATTTGCCCTAGACTTCTGCTTTCAGACCGAGTTAATTATGAAGTTATTACCCTATCCGATAATAATCCAATGCAGAGGCAATGATGTAATATAATACATTATTTTATATACATTAAATATTGATATATGTATTTCTATATATTCTTAAAGTTAAAACCGGCCCTTTGAGTGCAACCATAATGCGAATGTGGCCCGAGATGAAATTGAGTTTGACCCCCCTGTTTTAGAGGTTTGTCAATTCATTAAGGCAGAACAGAGTCCCTTTAGTTTGTCAGATGTTCGACTCCTTGGTATTTATATACAGAGGACATTAAGTAAGTAAGGGTACTGTACATGTTGTGCGTGCTTGTGTGTACAAACGATATGTTTACCTATGTGACATTAATTAATAAATGATAAAATATACATAATTTCAGTAATGTATCATGAAATGTATCTTTGAATACACACACGTCTTTTTCAGAATCCCAACTTTTGATGACGATCCAAACTTTAAACCCCAATTATTATTTTTTCAGTTGTAATAATTTCCTTATTTTAATTTTGGAATAAGATTGTATACGTGGATTATATCTGTGTTCTTCCTGGTTTGTCTATACTGGTGTTTAAATGATTGAATTTGTCCTGCAAGATTCAAGAAAACAACCATTTCTGTACGATTATAGGTTTTGAATGTGTGAGTGCAACTCTTGATAAATGTTCATTTGACTATTTGACTAAGATTTGAAACAATAAAGGTCAAACTAAGCATTCATAAGGCTTCTATCGGTTTCCTATTTATGTTTTCATTTGACCTACATTAGTTTTGTATTGAAAAGAATCCCCAGCAATAAGGAAACGCTTTTATGTTAATGGTCATTTAAAAGTGTAAACTCACTTGGATGTTTTTCTTCCGTATGAATATTAATCCTGCAAAACACTTGTTACTGTTCAAGTTGATACATATTGTTATTCAGATGAGTCTTGTGTCACAGCATCTGGATGTGCGCTGCCGGGTTAGTTCTGGTTCCAGTCAGAGGTGACTTGTATAACATGAACCCAGATGACTCGAGTGACTGAGGGCTTTGTCAGGGCTCAGGAATGCCTCCTGGAGAAAAACACAAATAAACAATATAAAAAACAAAGCATGAAATGTTCTGCAGACTCGAAGGACATTCACAAACTCCACAAAATGTGTGTTTTTAGGGGGAAATAATCTGCCTGTTTTTTGTCTTTCGGGCTTGCCAAACATTTGAAGACATTTCAAAAGATTGAATAAGACCCAAGGGTGGCTTTGGGCATCATGATGTGATGTTTCTGCCAGCTTGAGTTGCACATGTTGGTCTGTGTTGAGTCATATCAAGAAATGGATGATAACTCAGTTCCATCCAATTCTGACCGTCATGTGTGCTTGCAGCATAGGTGCTATTTACACCATGACACGTCCCTACCACTATTTGAAAGCATGCACCAAGATTAGCTAACTAACAAATTAGTACACTTTCAGAAAATTGTATTTGCATAATTACAAAACAAAAAAATGCAATGTTAATCTAGAATAAAAGTATTTTTTTTTTATCAGTGCATTTACAAGTGCTCAAATATGTCTAAACAATAAATAAAAGTCCAAATAAAGTTGAGCTCACGTAAAAAAATATCCCCCATTACTATAAAATGACCAAAATGCATGCTAGTTTTACGTTGAAAGCAAAAGTGGAAAAAAAGATTAAATTGTTATTTAGGACCCTTCAATATGATTTTTTCACAATAACTAAAAACATCTAATCAAACCTTTAAATGGATGCTTTCTTAAACAGATTTATGAATGTTAAATCCTTTAGACTTATAGTAGCTTTTTGATTATGGTATGGCTTTAAGAGAAAGGCTAAACCGTGACCAGTAACCTCACAAAATGTCTCGACCTTTTTTCTTGTTTTCTCCCAATTTTGGTGGTTAGACGTCAAACGGAAAACCCTATTGCATTGCCCAAAAGTGTAGATGTTGAAACTTAAATATCTTCTGCCCCCCCAACACTTTTCAACACAAAGTGACACCATTAGTTTGCAGTATGTGTTTTGTATTCAAAGTGAAGGTGAAGATGTGTCCAGGTGGCTCACATGCAGCATGCACTTCATGAATTAGACTGAGCCACCAAACCTCAGTGAACTTCTCACATGTTCTCCTCAGCGTGAGCCACTGAGCGAGGTCATCTTAGAAGCCCAATAATAAGACACCCCCCTGCTACTTAAGAGCACCTCTATTTATTTGTATTTGTTCTCCTGTGGCACCGAGAAGCTCCAGGTAACTGCCACTGACCCCAGAGCGAACCAAAGCTACGCCTGGTGTGCATTGCAGGTGGTGGAGATGTGGAGCAGGCAGATGGGCTCTGCTTGGTGGAAACATAAATCCTGCAGTAAGAAGAACTCTCTTCCTCTCTGCACAACACTCCCTGGTGAGTCCTGTGTCTGCTGGAGTCAATGAAGCGTCAGTCTCCTGCAGCAGGAGGCTGGTCAATATTTCATTTATAGGGCCTTTGAATGACAACTTCATTTCTAATTTGATGTTATTTATTAACAGCCTACTAAATTGTCAAATAAAAAAAACACACTGTTGCTGCTCACAGAGAAAATGAAGTGTTTCAATTTTTAAGCAGGCTTTTATGCTTTTGCCCCAATTGAAAACAACCTCTCATCCCCTGTTAATCATGACAATTCATTCACATTGCAAATACGTGAACCAAAGGCCTGCGTGATGTTCCCGTATAATACTCATTTACTGTAGCACGTGGACACATGCGCTAAATTATCCAACATCGTTGACATTTTATGGTAAACTTTTGTTAAAACGTTTTTTGGTGCATGTGGTAATTTAATTAATATTTAAAC